CTCCTACTCCTCTCTCTCTCTCCTCCTTCCTTCCTGCTCTCCTCTCCTCTCCTTCCATCTCCCTCTCCTCTCCTTCCTCTAGCTCTCCCTCCTTCCTCTCTCGCTCCTCTCCCTCTCTCCCTCTCTCTCTCCTCTCTCTGCCTCTCTTCCTCTCTCCTCTCTCTCTCCTCTCTCTCCTCCCTCTCCTCTTCCCCTCTCCACTCCTGGCTTGTCGCGCATGCACCTGAGCGTAGCTACTGTGGCGGGTGAGTGCTGTACCATAAATGGGATTTCGTATATCTATTGTCAAATCAAATGAATCTTAACTTTTGTTCACTTGGTATTGTAACGGTACAAGCTTCGTAAATCATAAATATTTGGACTTACATTCTTCCTACCCCGCGTGACCACACAGTTCATTGAAGAACAAAAATATTGCTTTACAATTCAAATAATTTCCTCTAAGCTGTCTGTTGGCTTGGTATTCCTTGCTGGGTAGCGCGTGGCACTGTTGTGCGTGCGCTATCAACCAGAAGAGTTTTTTAAGCGAAGTCTATAAGTAAATGGAAAATTTTAAAGAAATTGCTTCCTTGGTATTTCTGCCTTGAGAAAAAATACAGTACCATTTAAACAAGCCTCCTAATTAACAGAGGAGCAAAGCAGCGTACTTGAATGTGTATAAAATGTGAATGTCACTCCATTGTGTAAGTTCAAACACTATAATTAAAATTTTATTTTCTTATTTAAAAAAATCTGTAAATAAAAGGAGCTGTATAAACAAAAGCGAGCGAAGTGGCTCAGTGCGAAGCGCCCTGACTTCGCAATAATTCAGACAAAGACACATATTCGTTTTATTCAGTCTCATGCGGCCAATTTCTAAAACGTTATTGTTTTGATTTATTGGTCTGAATGCACGGAAATGGGTGTAGGAGGAGTGGGTTAGCAAATTGAGAGTTCATTGATATGCAGGTGTTTTGAGAGAAGATACCGTCATTTTCCCAGCTGATGTGAGAGATCTCAGACGCGGTACGGACAGGCAGCTTAGCATTGTTACGAAAAGAAGTCAATAAATTCAGTGATTTTTCAATCGTATATTAACATTGATTAAGGGTAAATATAAGATCACTGCCACAAAATTTTTGGAAACAAAGTGTTGAAAACTGAGCGTGTAAATAGATGAACAAACTTTTTTGGGGATTGTATAAATTTACTTAAATGTCGAAACTACTCATGGATTCTGGAACGACCTGCAAACCAAATTTATACCACAGGTTAACATCCCCAATATGTTTACGTTTTGAAAATAAATACATTGTTTTATTTTGGATTCTGTGTACATTAGTAGTTAGATCTAAATATCTTTTCATCCTTCCCTGAGACGCCCGTGTTCAGCGTACGGGCGTGATACTAACAACTCAAATAAAAAAAGTCTGGAGCACCCAGCTCTGGTCTCCCTCATTTCTCCTCGTCGCTACTTCGGTGTCACAAAGAAAGTGATAAATAAGTAGAGTCCACTTAGAGCAGGAATGCACCACAGTATGTATTTGATACACACATCCTAACACAAATGTGCACACACACCACATACGACGAAGGGTTTGCCATTAATGAAGATTTAAGGACTAATAGGTTTGAGTTACAGGAGATAGTTTTATCATTGAAACTCAAAAGAAGTGAGTTGTTTGGGAACTACAAACTCTGACTGAAGATTATAAATTAAAAGTTTGAATTTCATTTAAAGAAACTAATTGTAGAAAATAACTAAAATTAACATATTTACCTCATATTCACATCCGGGCCATATTCAAGAAGAAGCTGAACACATTCATTCCAATTTACACATACAGCAATAAAAAATGCAGAGCGCCCATGTAGATCTGTCAAATTAACATTAGCACCATTATCTAATAGAAAACGAATAACTTCCAGTGGTGTTTCGTTTTTCTGATTCCATTTACTTCTGACCTGCCATACACAAACAGATGTTATTCTTGTACTGAATTGATAATGAACTGTAACTATTACTGCTTTACACTTTACAAATTTCCAGAAATGTTATAATAATAAAAAGTAATAATAAACAAATTCAAAAAATGTCTGTTTAAATACACTCATATTTTGTCTATTTTCATATGCCATGGAATCTACCTATTTGGAGCTTTGCTATCATCTGATCCCCATTAGATGATGGCTAAGCTACTTGTGTTAATCCTCCGAATAAGATATAGTGGTGCCACAAAAAGTATACACTTTCTAGTATTATTGGTAAATACAGTGAATATAATACTGCAACTTTTATTCTACTAACACTTCGGCTATCCTATTAGACTTTCTGTTTCATGTAAACTGTTTCAAGCTGAAGCAAAAAAAAAGAACTGCATATTGCATCCTGTGAAACAGAAGGAGAATAGAAGAAGAAAACTGGTCAAAACTTGCCTCCTCACCATTTCAAGTTATAAATATAGAATGTACTACTATTATTAAATGATGTAGTTGCAAACCTAACTATATGTATTATTAATAATATATTATTAATATAATAATAATATTATTATTATTAATAATAATATATATTATTAATATAATTATATTATTAATAATATTATATTATATTATTATTATTATGTATAAGTAGCCATTAAAAAACATATAAATGTTAATTATAGCAATAATTTATCACTGTATAAAATATTAATATTAACTTAACAAAGTATTGTATTTCTAGGCCAATGACCCCATCTTGATCAGTTTGTTCAGTTCCTTGTCCTTTGACAAACTAGCATGGGCCCCTTGTTTTCCCTGAACAGTAATGTAACTTCGCTCTCTCCACCCAAGCATCATATTGACTCGTCTACACCGATGTAATTGATATGTGACTCAATAAATATTATTATTATCATTATTATTATTATAATAATAATATATAAAATTAACAATAATAATAATAATAATAATAATAATAATAATAATAATAATAATAATAATAATAATAATAATAATGACTACTCGCGGAGCTTGTGCACCGAAGTTCAAATCCCGGGCTAGCAAATATTTTCGCGAGTTGGAAACACTTTGTGGTGGTTGTGTTGCGCGAGGCTATTGTTTTACTTGAGTTCCGTTGCTAGATGGGATTGTTATTTATTTGGTGACTAAATATGTTGCACTTGTTTAAGCTCCACGGTGACTAAAGCGATCGACTGAGAATACGCTCTCTTGGCGCAGTCGTCGTTAGACCATCTCTAAAACCGGATCAGCGAAGACAAAATTTTCGAATTCAGAAAGATCTCGAAACGCTGGATTCATAAGAAATGTGGCTCCGTTCGATCCTGCTGTCTGCTGATTATCTCCATACAAGACACGATTCAAGATAAGTTGTAAGTTAGTAGCTTAAGAACTGCATGCGAGTGTTAATTAATATAATTGGCGACGCACAATTCCAATTATTAACCGATTTTTGACACCTGAAAATCCCATTACGAAAACATTAGAAAAAATATTTCAAGCATTGTCTGCGCACTACGTGCCTTCTAAGTGGCAGGGCGACAAAAAGTTTAGTCTTCAGCTCGAACAAGAGTCGTTGATAGTTCGTCGCAAATTTGAAACAATTATCATCTTGCAACTTCAATTCACATCGACGGCAATGCACTACAAATTCATTGCAGTGTTGGCGCGATGAACGCTTCAAACGTCGGCTTACGACAAAACCTATAATTGTATTTGATAAAGCCGTAGAAGTCGGTCTTCAGTAAGAAGTGGTGGTGCGGCACCTTCCACTCTTCAACTTGTAGCCGCTGCGGCAATGATTCAAAATGTGGGATCATATGTTCAAACAAATCAGAGCCGTGGTACGAAGAGTTATCGCTGCGAGGATAAACGGCATATTGCACCGAATTGCCAGCATAAAAATGATAATAGTCCAAAGGGACGCCGAGCGAAAGTCTGCCGAAGCAGTGGAACTTCTTGGGAGCGTGTCTGATCCATTATCCATTCATCAGGGTCGCCGCCGGATTCCATTTAACTCTGTCTTGATAAAGTCGACACGAATCACGATGGCACTCTATACTGGAGCGTCCTACAGTACGCTGAACGAGTCTGATTGACAGGAATTGAACGCGCCAAAACTACGATCGTCTACAATTATGACTGCATACTTACGGTGGTCAGTTTACCACTGAGGGCTAAGTTCCAAACGACCGTCTTCAATAACAGCGTTTCCGCTACAGTGCCAATTCTTCATGGTTTGGGTGCGACAGGCCGCGTATGTTTCCTGTGAAATGGGCACGTTTACACAAATCCTTAGAATCATCCGTCTAACACATTTCATTAGACGATGTTACTAGGTGGTTTCCTTCTTTATTTTCGACAGAACTGGGTCATGTAAGCAGTCTGTGCCCATACCGACTTGCGCCTCGACGCAACTCTTAAGTTCTGTACGCTACGCCTCAACTAATTCCCTTCGCGTTGAAAGAAAATATCGAAGCTGATGTGGATCGCCTTACAAAAATGGGCGAACTTGAACCGACATTACGGTCAGATTGAGCTGCACCGATTGTGCAACTTGTGAAGGCCGATGGTTCAGTTCGGATTTTTGGCGATATTCGGCTTTCAATTCATAGATTCAAGCGGATTGATACCCCTCACCATCGACACTTGATGCATTTGCATTATCCGAAGGGAGAGTATTTTCAAAACTGGGCTTGTCGGATACTCATTTACATATCGAGCTAGAAATGGTTGTGAAGCAATACGTTATAAATATGCATAAAGACCTATCTAGATACAGAAGACTACCTTTTGGAGTTTCCTTTGCCCCAGAATAATTTCAACATACTATCGAACGTTCCACTTAGGTTTCAGATGGAGTGAGCTGTTACTTATATCGTGGTTGGTCATACTCAAGAAGAGCATGACAACCACTTAACAACACCACTCACTGAACTTTAAGAACAAGGATTCCGAATCCAAATGTGGCATATCACAGTTCTCTTTGCAGTACCTGGGACACATAATCAATTCAATTGGCACCAAACCATTGGAAGAGAAGGATGATACTATCATGAAAGCTCCTAAATTCTGAAATGTTCAGGAGGTCCAATGATTCTTAAGTTTGCTTAATTATTATAGAAAATTACCTTTAGTTCTAAATTGCAGTGCATCCAGCTATGGCATCAAGGCTGATTTACATCATTTTACGCCAAACGGCTTGCATCCCCCAATCGCGTTCTCCTCAAAGGCATTGTCAATGGCTGTGAAGAATTATCAAATTAAAGAGGAAAGCACTGGCAATTATCTTTGGAGTGATGAAATTCCATCGTTACTTGATTGCTCATTTTGGAGACTGATCACAAACCACTGCTGACGGTATTGGGTCCGCGAGGAGGTATTGCGTCCGCTTCTGAACTGCGACTGCACCGTTGGACAGAGATTTTGGCAGCTTACCATTTCACTTTACAATTCCATCAAAGAAAGCATCATGCGTTAAGTTGATTACCTACCGCGCAATCCACTACCGCAAACAATTGATCCCTGCTTGCCAATTGCTCATATGTTTTACTTGAGTTACGTAGCTAGAAGAGACTGTTATTTCTTTGGTGAATAAATATGCCTGTCTAAGCTCTACAGTTAAATGATTTAACTGCAAATAAGCTCTCATAACACATTAAACATTACAAATAATACGAGAAAGTATGTGCAGTTATAACACCACTAATTGGCAAATAATTCAAATACATTATCAAGTATTCTTACTGATGGGAAACACTCTAAAGAATTTTCCACTTAAATTATAAATTCACAAACCAACTAAACACACTTGTGTGTTATTACATTGTAGTTATATTTTGTTTTGCATTTATGTTAATATTAATAATTATTGACATAAATATACTCACTTCATCTATAGCTTCCATTAATGGTGTGAAATTGTTAAAATCTTGGACATTTACTACTGCTCCATTTTTCACAAGCTCTTTTACTACATCAAGTTTGTAGGATTTACTAGCTGTAAAATAAAATAATGAAATGAAAAAAATCCATGACTATCAGCAGTAGAATTTTAGGAAGTAATCAAAAGTGTCTATTCTTCAGACAAGAATTATTTTCATGCAATACTTCCACAAATTTAATAAGGGGTTAACAGCAGACTTCCACAAGCAGATATTAAAAAAGCCCTATAAAATGCTCTAGGGCAATATTTATTCAATTGGATGACTTTCATGAGTTGTTTCAAGAGCTGAGTAGAGCCTATGACATTTTACAAAATCAGTAATGACACATTCAACCAAAAAATTTTTAATTTCTGCTCCCAAAATTGGTCTCTGGATTCACCCCCGAATATTAAGTGAAATTATGAAAAGAAGTAGCATTGTATATTTTTCTTTTTGAAGCAATATTCACTCCCATGTATTAAAAACTATTACAATGACACATGAGCCAGAGATTTTGACTTATACCTTATTGTACCTTAACACTAAAATGTCCAGAGGCATCATTTTGACTCCTGGCACTCTTTATGCACTCTTATGTGTAACTTAATTGTTTTTGAAAATAGAATTTTGTGGTTTCATCACTTTTCATCATCTTCAATTATTTAGTGTGTTAAAAATGGAATCATGCAAAAAATATAAGCTTCCGCAGCTCGATGTCATGACTTCTTGTCATGGAAGCCTACGTATACAGCAAAAAATATATTTCATGAAAAATAATTGAATTTACCATGAACGCCTATGAGGCATCAATTTAACTTCTTGAATATTGACCCAATATTGTAACTTCTGTTTCATATTTTTCAACGCTTAAAAAGTTTATATGTGTCTCTTAGTATTTCGGATACTTTCTGAACAAATTTGTGAGCATTCCTTCCAGTTGGCATTGATTTATAGTCTTCTTGTTCAATACATGCAAAGTAATGAACCATGAGATGCTTCGTCACAGTACAGCACCGAGTTTCGAAAAGCAAATTATTATCACCTGAAAAACCAGCATTGTGATATCTTCAAGTCATTTAGATAAAGATCAATGTTCGAGTTTCAAACAGAATTTTCGCATGTAGGAGGGTGGTGATGATGTGGTAAAATATTATTATCTTATTTAGTCTGTCTCATTTAATAATTTTCAAATAATTAAGATGTTGGAAAAAAAAAAAAAAAAAAAAAAAAAAACGACATTATCTCTAATTCCACATGAAACAATATTTTTCTTTTTATGAAGCAATTTATTTACTAACCAATATTGTATGTCAGGGGAACAACACTGATACAGGGTTTTTTTCTCTTCCAGACTATGTTCACGGCATAAAACTAAATGAAACCAGCATAAAAATTGTGATCTGTGGGGTGATCACTAAAAACGTGTGTGCCAATGTTTTTTTCATACAATGGAAATATAGGAAAAAATATTGTGAAAACCTAGAGGAAACACCTGGAAAATGTAGCCATGAACCACGTATCAAGATAATAAGCGGGCATCTGGATAATATTCTATAGTATCAAACATCTGGATTGTACTCTACAAAATGTGCTTGACAATTCTGGTTAGCACAAGTCATTAACAGTTTGAATCTTTCAACTGTACTTATTTTATACTGCAAGCACAGTAAAGTCATTAATGTAGAAAATAAATGCAATGAAATCCCAAACAAGACCTAAGAGCCATTTAGAAGTTGGGATTAAATTTCTTTTAGAATTGTCATGTAATACATTCCAAGTTCCTATTAGTGTGATAACAACATAAATTAGTAAGATATGTGTGTTTATAATAAATATAATAAAATTAGTTACAAATATAAATAAATTTGACATATTGCAGGGTAGTATAGGAAGTGAACTTCAAAGCAAATATATTTTTGTTACATGTGTGACACTGGTATGGCTTAAATTAATGTTTATATTGTTATTGCTATAAAAATATTACTCATATATAAAAGTTTACTTTTCAACATACTATTTTATGTGTTTTGTCTGTACAAGATGTTAGTTCAACTTCCATTCCACTGAACAATAATGACATGAAATTTTTTTAATATACATATTAATTGAGATGTAATACTACTCTTCTACACTAAAAATATATTTTTAATGAGATTTTAGAATTATAGATAAATATTTTTTGCAAAATTTCCTTTTAATAAGTATCAGTGATGGCTAAGAGTCACAATGACTCAGCTGGTCTTTCTAGGGGCTATTCGTAAGCCAGGCATTTTGATGTCAAGTAAAGTGAAAACTTTATTCTCCATGGATTCAAGAAATCGTGTAGAAATAGTGAAGCTTTATTTCTGTGAAGAAACAAATCATCTGAACATCTCCGCAATTGCCCAATGGATCTATGGGAAATGGCTGAAAAACATGATGGGGACAGATGTCATGGACTCCAAAGACGAAATAAAATACTTACTACAGGCATTGATACTTGTAGAATTAACAAAAAGTAATATTGCAACTTATAATACCCTACAAACACTTCAGCCCTCTCTTAACCAAACAAAATGAACAAGATTTGACAAAAATAAACTTTATTTTTAAAGAAAAAATTTCAACAACAATTTTGGAAAATTAAAGAAATGATTTTTTACTGTGGCAGATGTTATTTTGGGATGGTAAGTTAAGTAAAGGTTCCGTTAATTCAAAGAATTACATGTAGGAAGTCTCTTTCATAAGCCAACCACAAAAATTATGGAAATTAATGAAACTTTGCATAATTATATTTGTCAAGTTTTGTTCTGATTTTATTGCCTTTTCCTTGCTTATTTTTTTATTTTGGTTTTATGCATCTAAAATCAATATCTATTTTGCCTCTCCTGTACATTTGTTCCTTAGCCATCACTGAGTTCATGAGACTCACTACCACGAGGTATGCTGAATGCCTTGCCCAACACCTACCACCTGACCAGAGCAAATATTCCGGAAATGAATTCATAAACTTTTCCTTCCTTTAGAATTAGATCTAAGATTAAAATAATGAAAGAAGTGAAACGATTTGTTAATCTCCTGTTAAGAGAACAATTTTTTATGACTTCTGCCTACACCTGACTACATAAGATTACCAATTCTAGTTATAGTGTCCAAAGCTGAAAGATAATTTTCTAAATAAAAACTGATCAAAAACTTCATTTCCCCATTCCCCGATAAATTTAAAATATTAACAATTGAACCTGTAGAAATAAAATTCTACCCACACAAACATTTCTTACATCACAAAATATATTGGAATATAGCTTTCCCCTTTGTATGTGATAACAAAATATACATAAGTGCATTCATGTTTTAAAGTTATATTACTTAATAATTTTTTGGGTTGACAATTCACGATTTTATAAAGGATTCTGTTTGCAAATTAACAATGAGAAATATACAACATATACAAAACATTCATACCAACATGAAGAGGAGTAATATTTTCAGTGTTTCCTTTGTTGACACTAACACCATGTTCTACAAGCAATTTAATAAGTTCAATGCTGTCCTGATACTGACATGCCACATACATGGGTGTCATTCCATCAAAGGTGCAAGCATTTACATCACATTCATCTAAAAACATAATAGAGTTATAAAATCAATTGCATTTCTCAATACTTGCAAATCTACATACTTAACCAAAATTACCTTGCTGGAATAATAATCTTACACAGTCCAGATGTCCATTTGCTATTGCTTCATGTAAAGGTGTCCAACCTCGATTATCATTCAAATTTACATGATGTCCTTTCTCTAACAAGTGCTGCAAAACATCAATTTTCCCTTGACGAGCAGCAAAGCATAACGGCGAGGAAATTACATTTTCAGCAACACTGAAATCCTGCAACAACGATAATTCACGAATACCAGGTATTTCGTAAATAAAACCGACATTGTATTTTTATAATACACACATCCATTTTCTCAAGTCAGCAGAAATGATCTTGTATATCACCACTGGAATAGTATGACACTCTGCTCTGATAATTTATGATTATCTATAATGAAACCATGATCTACACGATTAAACTATCATACCCCGAAACCAAACGTTCACACGCTATTTAAACTGTCCACACCGATGAATGTCTATTCTGTCACGAGTGTCAATCAACCACACTAATACCACACTAATACCACACACCACTCCTCACACTGCGCACCACAACAACATCCGCATGCTGTCCGATGCGGTCTCTCTGTTGTGTAATTTAAATATAGTGACTTGGAAGCATCACTATTTGGAGACTGTTATCTAATCGCGAGCTTTGTTACTACTTTTCATATTGAAGGCTCCGATTGGATACCCACGCCACAACTATTCAATTGTCATAAGTCAATATGTTTAAATTGGCCTTTATTTTCTGCTGGCATCACTATTATGTTCCGGTCATGTGTTCTCTAGTTTTTGGTTTAATTGGTTCTGGCCATTTGATTGTCGGTTTAGTAAATTAATTTGACAGGAATCCTGATTTCAACACCATTTTACTTGGCGCCAAATGCACGTCCGTGCGGCTGGGAACGAAAATCTAGTTTATTTTAAACTTATACGCATCTTTCAACTATTTCTAGTTAAAAAGACGGGGAAGGGATTCTGGAACTGAAGAATACGTCCGCAGATAAATTTCCCCATATAGTTTTTTACTGTTTCTTTGACTAAATAAAACTAATCTAAATTGTAATTAAAAGTCCCTAAGCCAGTGTAGTAAGTATGGCGGGTGGTTTACAGTTGGTTGATGATGCGGGTCATATATTACGTGAAACCAATGATCTCAACTATATAAACTGGATCCATTATTGCAATGCTGGAAATTCTTTGGGAGCGTGACGCCCGATTCTAGTACGTTGGCAAACCTGGAACGTATTCCAATGTGCTTGTTTCGCGGGGTTTTCGTACGGTGTGGAAAGGTGACTATTTCGGTGAATTTCGCTTTGAACAAGAAACACAGTTGAAAGTATTGTGTTGCGTGCGGTTGTAAATAATTCCACAAGACACGAAGTGGAATTCAGTTTCACAAGTAAGAGATTTCTCTTTCCACATGTGTTTGAAATTTCGCCATTCTGTATCCCAACCCTTTAACGGTAAATTTCACATAAATGTGTTGTATTTCTGCTTTACGCAGATTCCTTTTTTCTTGACCAGAAATTTTGACGAAATGGATTCATGCTATCTGAATAGCGAAATGGAAACGATCCCTAAGTAGCACACTCTGCAGCAAACATTTTCTTGAGGATTGCTATCAGATTAACATTTATTATAGTACCAATTTGACGTTGATCATTGTTTCTAACGGTATATGTTAAGTAAATTTACCTCAGCTCTATACGTGTTAATAATTGTTTGCGTTTCTAGGTTAGACCGGGAGTGAAAGCCGTGTTACTAAAATATGAAGCAGTCCCTTCTTTCTGTTTGATTTTCCTGTTCATCTCGGGGAAGAGGCGACCTTTAATGTGAATGGAATCTTCTGATGTCACTGTAAATAATTTGAGAACAAGTTTTATATTTTTTCTAATGAACAATGTATTAAAGTAAGAATTTGTCTTCAACAATGATGATACCAATTAATGACCACATTTACGAGTTTGTATGTATTACAGGCCAAAAAAAGGCATATCTGATGTGGAAGTAGATTATCAATGCAAACTTCCTAGCAAACAAAAATGTAAGGAGACACAGTTCCTGAGTCACCTACCAAAACCATCCGGAAGAAGAAAATTAAGCTTCTGCAAATGAGACTAAATTGTAGGAATGAGATTTGTACCATAGCAGAATTAATCAAAAAATTAGGAAAGGACATTCAAATTCTGACGTGGAAGCAGCTCTTGAAGAGAAGTTTAGTGGTTTTCTGTTTGAATTTATCAAAATTCTTAATGTGATAAAAGAGAAAGATGGTACAGTGACCTTGTGAAACAGTTCTTACTTTGCACTTTTAATCTTCTGGAGCATATAAGTACGTGTGATCATTATTTTCATTACCTCATTCAAATACACCAAGGTCATGGATTTTTACTGTAAATTGTTGTGAAACATGTTTTATTGGTGAAGTTGTCAAATGTTTAAATAAAAACAGTGTTATCACATTTGATGGGATGTGCTTCTATATTTGATGGTATGTTGATAAGAAATCAGTTGATCTCCGATGCCAGCAAGAAAAGATTCTCAACTTATGTCAATGTGGGTGGCATATCATCTGTGGAAGTAGAACTAACATGGGAGGCAGGCCAGACTCCAAAACTGTGTGGATCATTCATAAATTCTGAGTTCACATTCATATTTGAAACTTTAATAATTATTTCTATTGTTTCTCAATTAATTCTGTGATTGATTGTGATGATTTACACGAAACAAAATTGCTAATAGAAATCGTGAGAGTGTATACCACCCTTCGATTTAAGAGCAGCAGAGAGAAGAGCAGTATCAAGGAGTCACAATAAATGAACATGGAAAGAAAAGCTCTGTAAGACAGAAGTTGAATAACAAAGCAGATTTTTGAATGAGTAATATTAAATATTATGAACTATCGTTTTTATCGACATTTATAGATAATGCAGTTCCCAAATATCCCCATTATTTTCAAATTTGGGTACGAGATGTAGAAATATAATTTGTGAGAGATTTCAAAACTGAAGAATAATTTGATTGTCGATTGAAATTTATGAAGTTAGTTTAATGTATGTTTATTTCTCAATATTATTCAGGCATTTAAGAAAACTATTTTTTTTATCGAGTTTATGTTAATGAAAATTTAGGAACTTTAAGAAATTTAATGCTATCCAATTTAAATTCATAACATTTATTATTTTTTATACAACTTGTGCTTTATTATTAATCATTCTTATTACCTTTCACCACGAAAATTCGGGCTACTCTCACGCTACAATGGTTTTCCAATGTGTTAGCGAGAGACATACGCTCTGCAATATGGCGTACTCGCTCTCTAGCATAGAAACTGCGTGAAACATCTATATTCATTCACGCTCCACGTTTCCAGAAAGACAGCACGACCGTGTCTTCATGTTGTCCAGGTTTGCAGGTTTGTTTCTAGCTTAATAGATAGCGATGCCAGGAAGAAAAGAGCAAAAATAATGACGAAAACATGCACAAATGAGAGAAAAAAATGCCACAAATAGACATCAAGCTAAAATAGGCCAAGTGAAAATCTAAAACAACTCCAGAAGTACAATTAAGTGATTCCTATTGATAAAAGTCATAAAATTGTGACTAATAAAAAGGCACCACTTGGTATATTGGGACCTTAGTCACCTTACTGTTATCTTGAGGTCTTAGTTGCAGGAATGAAATATAGGGAGTACCACAGTCCCAGCACAAGTTTACCAACTTTCGTGAAATATATGCGAAATATTTCTGCAAGGTCCTAACTTTGCGCGTTTCCCCAAAACGAGTGTGAAAAATAATAGCTAATAGAGCAGATAATAACTAATAGAAAATAATAGCTAATAGCCCGTGATGCAAAGAGAACTTTGCAATTTTGCACTATGGATAGGCCCTGGACACGTGACTCAGGATTCACCTGCAAGTGGGCTTGAAGCGCGTAATGTTAAAATAATTTCAATTTCCACAGATAAGATCTCCAGTTACTTGACCTTTGAAAACTCAAAGGTGATAATGTTAATATTCTGTGCAATATTGATTTGTTATCGCAGTTATCAGCACAAAACATTTCGACCTTGCGTGAGACTGCTACGGCAGTACGTTCATGTTATAGTTAATCAAAGAGAAACTTATTGAAAAGGGTAAGTGCTAAGTTTATAACAGGAACTTCAATAATAACTGTAAAATTAATATAGATTTAATAATAATATTTACTGAGTCACATATACAATTACAATCGAGTATGACGAATCCATATTTATGGCCTGAGCGACATCAGATATAAAATATAATTTATTATTACTACTACTATTATTATTTTATTGAGAGAGAATGTTCAGCCAACGTTACGCTGCGTTAATCAAAGGAGAGTGTTAAGCATCTTACGTCAAGCTGATAATACATGTAGACAATTAATTAACTTTATTGGATCATATTCTACAACAAAACAAAATATTGGAACAAACAAATTTAAAAACTATCAATAAATAAAAAAGTACGATGTATAGTTAATTGTTACAATAAATGGAAATTTCTTCTGTGGCAGATGCAGCACAACATGGTGGCCATGCCCCCCCCCCAAAAGGAAAACTACAGTTTTCGTTTGTTACCTTCTTTGATTTGGTAAATTGATATAAACATTTATTTGTTAGGATTATGTAATTATTTTTTTTAAAAATATTTATATTAATTACTGCAATAATTTAAATTTAATGACAAACATGTTTATTATTTAAGAAAAATCGATTATGTTCCCACCAAAAATGATCGGCTGGATCCGCCCATGAAAATCTTTTCATCAATAATATATAACAATCAATAATCTATTAACAGGGAAGAGAGATTATACAAAATACTCCAAATTTGCATTAACGAATTTATGGAACCCTATTATTGTTATTCCTCTAATTCAGGACTAAAAATATGAATCGCTCAAGGAAGCGCCTAGTGTTAAATTATAGAGTGCTAAATTAAAACAGTTTGTTGATGTTATTGTTGTTATTATTATTATTATTATTACTATTATTATTATTATTATTATTATTATTATTATTATTATTATTAGTATGATCAGCATCATTATTCACATTCAGAAAGAAGAGAACACGTAGAAAATGTTAATTGTGAAAACTGCACGGAATAATATTGAAATAAAATGCATAGAGGAATAGGGCCTACAGTATAAAGATAATATAACAAGAAACAAGACCCTTTCATGATATGTTGATGTTGATTATCTGTTATGTGTTAAATGTTACAAAAACTTTAGATTCTTTGTTATGATTCCATAAGATCTACAGAAAATGATAAATATAACCCTGATTTGCATTTTTCAGTTTACCCGTAAGCGAGGCTATAATACATAGTGCTAGTACATTTTTTTAGTGACTATTGATCAGGATGCTCGTTTCAAGGTTAAAGTTGCATCGTTACCAGCAAAGCTGTTTTCGTAATATTTTGGTACATGTTTTCAATGGAATTAGACCTAGTTCCTTTGTTATTCAATAATAAATCGTTTGTACAATTTGATTGTATGTGAATCAATGATCAATTTTCTATGTATTATGTTTTCCATGATTCTTTTGGTTAATTTCGCACCATGTTTGCTATTTTAAAGATGAATTTTAACTACAACTACGCACCCACACCAGCACCCTGGTGTGGATATACTAATTCGGTTCCCTTGCCGAACATTCCTCACTGCTGGCATCACTCGTACAATCCGGCGTGCTTTTGTGGAGGGTGGGAATGCTGTCCCGAGCAATATTCACAGTATTATTCTCATTACTCTGCACCTTACCCTAACACGGACGCGATGAAACGGAGATCGGAGAATAGTAATAATGTTGAAGAACCTGCCAAGAAAACATTTTGGGCCGCTGGTCTTCTAGCAGCTATGGAAGACCCACAGTGCATCGTAAAACAAGATGATAAAATCGTGATAATTCAGGACAAGTATCCTAAAGTAAGTACGTGATACCAAATAAGCATTGAAAATATGAAAGACATTCATTGCTATTTGTGCGTTTCTTTTATTAACTTAAATGTGTTACTCCAGAAATATTGTTCTAATTTATATAATTATATCTGTTAACACATTGTTCATTCATATCATTTGCTTCACAGGCAGAATTCCATTATCTTGTGTTACCTAGAGAAGATATTTCAAGTATAAATAAATTGAATCGAGAACATTTACCTCTTCTCGAACACATGGAAGCAGTAGGACAGGAAATAGCAAAAGAGCATCCGAATCATAAATTCCAGTAAGGCAAATGCTATTTTTCAAAATTTTTGTAGAAATTTATTTTGTATAACTTGGTATTTAATTTTATGTTGTCTTCTCACACAGGTTTGGCTATCATGCACTAGCCAGTATGATTCGTTTACATCTACATGTTATCAGTGATGATTTTAATTCACTTTCACTGAAGACAAAGAAACATTGGAACTCATTTACAACCTCATTTTTCATTCCTTCACAAGGTAAAGTAGTCTATAACTTTTATGAAAAGTCTATTGATAATTGTCAAGCAAAAGGAAACTTTTTTGTTCTTGTTCTCCAGATTTAATTGAGATCATAAAAAGGGATGGAAAAGCAAAGGAAATCAGCCGAAGCCATGCCAAGGAGCTTATGGATACTCCCCTTAAATGCCACAAGTGTAAAATGATGCTTTCAAACATGCCAAAATTAAAACAACATTTGTTGGTACATCGTTTAAAAGAAAAACATGCAACTGAAAAATAAAGTTGACCGACTTTGAAGTTGTTTGTTCATTGCTATTTGTTGTGTCTTTTTAACATTTCATTTAAATATAGTGACATTTCTAATGTTATTATATATGAAAATAATTGTGATAAAGGTAAGAAGAATTTAAAAAGTCTTGTTCAATTTCTCGAACCAGTTACCGAGTGTGCTTTAAGCTAATCTTACAGAATGCAGAAACTCTGTATAGAAACTCTGAAGTCTGTTTTATGTACATATATCTAGAAGAAAATTGTTTGTCTTGCACATATGTATAGAACTCAGTACTGAATAATAGAGTTGTGCAATACACTACCAGATTGCAAAATCAGAAACATGTACATTTTATTTGCCAGTTTTTACAGTATGTGTGTACCTATTTTTATGTGCTGATATTGATATTGAAAAATGAATTATGTGCTGAACTGATGTGCTGACATGAATTAAGAGTGATCAGATCCATTATTCCAAAGAACTCAATAAACAGGCCAAAATATAGAACACAGTAAACATGGAAATCGCACCTGTGTTTTCAATTCCTTTCTGACCTATACTTAAGCTTCACCGCCAATGAGATGCTCTCTCTATATCCATTCCTCAGTAGAAAATTGTTTTTTCACTTGTTGATTAACGATTTTAAGATCGAGTATGGCAATCAATCTGAAAGGTCATATAGAAAAATCCCACACTATCCACATTTCTGTACAGCAATCTATGCGAGCATAAAACTTCATCCCGATTCTCAACTGTATATTTTGTTTGTACAATCTTTTGTGTAGAATAAGATTTCTTTAAACAAGGATTTTGATAATTTTTAAAGATGGGTACTATTAATATATGTTTTATTTTATTCACTTAAATTTGCATGGTATGTTCCAAAATGTGGAAGAAAGAAAGTACAAACTTCTCAATGCACTTGTCTAATTTGTACAAGATATCTTTTTTTCATGTTCCTCCTACAAGCATAAAGTATACCCCTGAAGATATATAAACCACTGTTTGACAGCCTCTGCTCAATATTGTTGTAGATATTAACAATGAAACGATGTCTTGGTGGAAAAAGTACATTTGTTTGGTGGTGTCCTGCTTCCACATAACCATAAAGGAAGTGTCAGAAAACATTGTAAGGGCACAAAAACATACATCAAATATTTCTGGACGTGAGGATTTTGTAAACTGTGATATAACACAGCTTTGGGGCAGTTACTCTGTGTTCAATTTGTAATAATATTTTTTTTTATTACAAATTAGTATGAGAAGACATTAGGGTTACCTACATTGCGCACATGTGTCTACTCAAGTATTAGGGAATTGTAACATCTGTAAATACATATTCTTTAAAAGAAACTGACAATATTATATATTATAATGTTTGTTGACAAAATAAATTGTGAATATATTCCTATTTTGTCTTGCACCATTCGGTGTTTGTGATGTTCTACCCTTTCAGCAACCGTCTTCCAGCAGAGACTTTTATCTAGGTGCAGCTACTAGGGTTCCCATCCTTCAGGCATGGTTCATGGTACATACTATCCCATACATGTAATATTGAGTAAGCTTGGCTTGTGAGCTCATTGCACTTCGTGGTATATTTGAGGAAGGGAGCGAAGCCATACAGAAATGGTGCTAACCCTGCAGACCTACTAACCTTGCCTGTCTTATCTGCATTTGCACAATTTATGGGGATGGTACAGGAATTAGGGAAGATCTAGATTGAAGGATGATGGTGAACACTCAAATTTCATCTTCTCAATGCTGGTTGTAATAAACTAAACGCACATTTCTTCTGCAATTATAGATTTTCATATTTAAAAAATGCAAATAACAATAGTATTGATATTATTGTAAATCTCTATGTGGCTTCTAGCTTCACAGAACAATGGGCATGTTTCATGAATTCCCTTTTTACACAACTGACTATATTTGAGAAAGAAGGCCGCTCTGTTTCAGGCAGACCCTAGCAATGTCAGTAGTTGATAAACTTAATAGTCACATTTCGTCAGAAGGCTTGCATGTGATACCGTACGTGAGTTTCTGCGATTCAAGTATGGCATAAATCTCACGGTTGCATTACGTTTGGACGTCAATATGCGTGTCATTGACGCCCAGATATAGATATATACATATAGATATAGATATATCTATATGTACATATACATATAGATATAGATATATCTATATCTGGGCGTCAATGACACGCATATTGACGTCCAAACGTAATGCAACAGTGATATATATATATATATATATATATATATATATATATATATATATATAATATATATATATATATATATATATATATATATATATATATATATATATATATATAATATAATATAGATATAATATATATATATATATGTATAATTATAATTATTCTTTTAAGCGTTCTTCACGATATTCGAGGGCAAACTTTAATAAAATAAATTAGAGTTATGAGATAGATATATTATGTATAATAATATAAATTGGAGTCGAAGGATTTGAAGGTACTTGAGTTTGGAATGGATTTTTTGATTTTAGGAGTACTTTATATTAAGCTTCCTGATTTTCGAAAATTTCTTATAACTCCAATTTATTTTATTGAACTTTGCCCTTGTATATCGTGAAGAACGCTTAAAAGAATGGCGCAAGTGTAATTTTCGTTGAAATCCTTGATTATTGGAAAATTGCAAAAGTTCAAATATTTTTTGGGGTCTTCCTACAACTACAATAATGAAGATCAATATTTTCCAAAATAAATTCTGTTGTTCAAAGACAGATAATGAAATAAGTCACATATAGCTTCTCAAAAAATTTGAGTAGTTTTTGTGTAATTTTGCGTGGTGTTAATATTTAAACAATTATTATCTCAAAAAGGATTTTTTTAAATTTTATTTACTCCTTGATAGTACCTAAAGATCTTTAAATTGGCGCTAGTCTAATTTTCGACGATCTCTCCGTATTTTCGAAAATTGAAAAAAGATTCAAAAACGACAATATTGTAGATGGATATTTTTGTCTTAAGGAAAATCTGATCTTTAGAAATGGTCATTTACATTTTTTTTCGCAAAAAAAAGAGTAATTTTTCTCAAAAGCGTTGCTTGAAATTAATGCAATTTATATTTTTTTTAATTGTTTCATTTTTTGTTGTTCCACGACTAGAACAAGGGACGTTTAAAGAAATGGCGCTTGACTCATTTTCATTTAACTCACTGAATTTTCGAAAATTGCAAAAGTTAGAAATATTTATATTTCAATATGTCATATTCGTCACGTCTCGTCGCAGTCACTTGTCAAGACGACCGCCAAGAAGTGTCTCCGCGTACTCCCCTGCGTCACTACTCAGCGGCCAAAATTAGGAAGGAATTAGGATTGGGGTAGGGTTTAGGACACTTCACAGGGGGTTGGACTAGCCCTTGTGAAGCAGACAAACCGGTTTTGTGGAAACAAATTTCACATGAGAATGTCCGGGATTTCATTTTCTATTTTCGAGCAATGTCTATTATTATTCTATTATATTATTTCTCTATTATATTAGAGGGAGAGAGAGAGAGAGACAGAGAGGGGGGGGAGAGGGAGAGAGAGAGATATTCGATGATAGTCTCAAAAATATTAGAAACGGTTGTTACTCTTGAGAAAGCCAAGTAAAGTAGTGCAGGCGAAAATACACGGTCGGGCAAGCACATCCATTTGCAATATTATTTAAGTGAGATCCTCCCTTCTATGTTCCCCATGTTAAATTCTTAATATGACATATTAACTCAGAAACTATTGGGGAAACTATCTGGGCTGGCCGGGTGACACCGCGTCGAAGGCTGAGGTGCCGACCGACGGATCGCGGGCCTCTTCAGCGCTGTGCTCTATAGGAATCAAAGAATAGGTTTAATAGTTTATGAGGAAACGGGGCATTTGTATCAAGGCACGGTTTTTTTTTACTACGAATTACTCAGCATATTTGTTGTATTATTTTACGTAAAAACAACCTGCTCCACAAATCTCTTTTTGGTCATTTTCTCAAATGAACTCTCTGCAGGGAGAGAGGGGGGATTAACTGGTGTTAGGATTTTCATTACTAAACGTATTTTCCGCAATTACATACATTGTTAACCACAACGGTCTTTACCGTTGAATTTATTTCCTTGGTTAATAAGTTATTTAAAACACTTTTTGGTTTAGTCATTTGAGTCGACCTAGGTGACATTTCTTTCACTCACCAGGCAATACCACCTGATATCCCTAGAGAGAAAATACCACTTTACTTTAAAAACACACAACAACACGCCTGCCAAATAAACAAGATATGAAATGAAGAATAATACTGTGAAAACCACAGCTTTCGAGAGTCAATAGATTCAGAACTCTTGTCTATGTGAATCCGTCGAATTGCAGAAATGTCAGCCTGGCTGTGCTGATGCTCATTAAAACGCAAGAAATAATCAAAAACATTTCATAATCAAGAAACAATTCACATTTCAAGTACTCATTCTATTTTTTTGACAGTTAGCTTTTCGCTTTTCGTGATAGTCACAACAATATTTTTTTAAAGCTTTTCACTTCGTGAGAAAACTACCTGACTGAACACGCTGACTTAAAAGTTTCACAGAATCAAGTTTCACACACAACGAAAATACTACAGGTAAAACACAAACCAAACCTAACAAGATACGTCTTCACTCATCACTGTACGTCCACATCCTGCCACAATTAGGTACCACACTTGTAGATCTCAGCAAAATGTTAAATTAATGGTTTCACTACACACGTAAGAAACAATCTTCATTGGTACCAAGGGACTATTAATAGTGCTTGTAGTTGTTGCTGCGACAGCGAATATTGAAATAATTATTATGCAAATAAATTTTTATGCAACGAGGGCTAAAATATAGTTGGTATTAGTAATATCGATAAGCACCGAACCGGCAAACATTTTGGAGTATGTCCAAGAATATCTTATCTTGTAGATTACGGTCTGTAGAACGCTTCGTTTAAGAGTTATTTAATGATGTAGATTCGAACAATGCTGACGAGTGTTCCGGGTTGCATTTAACATAAATATGTAGCTGCGTTGTTCTTAAACAAATCCTATATATTTTAAAAGATAAAGTGCAATTCGTCACGTCTCTGTGGAATTCTCTTTCTTTAAAGTCCTTATTTATAAATATTGGTTGCGTGTGAGAGCAGCAAAAGGTATGAATACTACTGAAATAATATAGGAAACGATTACTTTAAAAAATAACTTTTATAACGGAAGGCCACATAACGTAGACATATAAATACACCCGTCGCAACGAACACGATAAGGCCTCATAAAGAAAGGACGAAGATAAGTATTCTACTTCGTGTCACATGAGTGAATAGACTGATTAGCCTACTATGTCCTCGAGAATAATACAAGTCCTCAATATACAAAGCTTTCTTCGTTTGTACTTCCAGCGAGGTTTTAACTCGTGTAGGCAGAACCGTTTTCGATCACTTACATCGCATTTTTGAAGTATTTTTTTTATCTCGCACGATATTTTATTAATACTTTTATTTCTCTCCCATCAGTGTGGGATGCAAAGTATAATTTGTTTGTTAGCAGTTGTAAGGTAATTTGCACACTGACATAGCAAAAGCCGGCGTCCGTGGGACTTGGAGGAGGTAGAAAATATTTCAATGTGGGTGGGTGAAAGGATAAAAGATTGTTTTTAGTTTTGATCCCTCTCCCATAAATTTGTTAAAGAATAATTACTCTTTTTACTTTCCCGTATACGTACGATACGTCCCGTATACGAAGTAATATACGTTGTATAGGAAAAGGTATGTAATGCTGCGGAAAATCCGGAAACTTGTGCAATTTTCGGAAAATCTAGTTTTTTAACCTACATGAGACCTGCGCCATTCTCTTAAATGTTCTTCAAACTATCCTCCAACATTTAAATAATGGTGCCACTTTTTGAAAATTTTGAAAATGTCCCAGGGGCTTCATGTAAAGTACTCTCCAAAATTAAAATATCGATTTCAAATTCAAGGGGCTGCGACATCAGTCAGATCGATTGGAAATATCAATTTTGGAGAAAATCGGCTGCACGATGTAGCCGCTAGCGTTGTTCAAAGACAGACCGACAGACGCTTTGCCGTCAAAGAGATTCGTTGATTTCAAGGACCCACAAAACACGTATTCTAGCTACACCACGTGTTAGAGGATTTTTTGTTGTTGTAAATTTAGCATCTGGATTTATCCACTTTTAGTAGCCAGGGCCCTGTAATATTTTTTTTCTGGCAATAATTCGCCGTTTTTTCGCCAGCATTACATAACTTTCTCTCTATCGCGGTAGCGCAAAGCTAGTGGTGCTACAACAGTACATACCCTCTCCCGGTATTGATAATAGCCATGTAATATCATAATATGACAATATCTCTCATATTCTTTAATTACCATTTGAACTAGTGGTACTAGCACGCACTTTCTCGCAAAATTACGCGAAAAGTATTCAAATTTTCGAAAAATTGTACATGACCTTATTTCAAAATATACCTTTAAAGAAGAGATTTTATTAAAGTAAAAATCTCTATCTTTAATATTTTAATTTTAAAAACACGCTGAAAAAATTTTTTTTCCAGTTTTCGAAAATTCAGAATTTTTAACGAAAAATGAGACCTGCACCCATCTCTTCAACTCCCTGTACACTATTTGACAACAACATTTTATTAAAAACGATGGTCCCTTTTTTAAATTTTGAAAATGTTCCAGGGGCGTCATGTAAAGTACCCCTCAAAATTAAAATATCGTTTTAAAATTCAAGGGGCTGTCTCATCAATCAGATCAACCTCTGAAAATCAATGTTGGAGAAAATCGGTGGAACAGTTTTGCCACAAACATTGTTCACAGACGGACAGACACAGACATTTTGCCATCAATCGACTTTCCGGTATCAATAACCCACAAAACATGGGTTCTCGCTACACTATGTGTTGAGGATTTCCCTCCCTAAATTTAGCAAATGGAATTATCCACATTTTCGTTACAAGGACCCTATAAGAAACGTTTTTCTGTCAGAAATTCTCATTTTCTTCGCGCAGCATTAAATAACTTTCTCTTCTTAAGAACGAGAAAGTAAAATATACAATGAATTTTGATTTCATTAACTCCCATATCTTGAGTTACTTATTTCAGGGTAGAAGATTTCTTGAGGTAGCGCAATTAATGAATCGTAAAGTCATCTTATCCGCTAGTCACTCAAAGAGAATATGGACATCGTGATTTTTACAAAATGACGACTTATTACCAAACAGGGTTTACGGAAGACATCTGCTGTCACATACCTGTTGTTAGCCAACGCCCACCCTTAGCATGTTGGCCATTTGGTGACGCGCCGACCAGTATAGACGTGCAGACTCCCCTCAAAGCTGTCACATTCCTGTAAACCATGAGCCGACCGGAGCTGACGTCGCCGGAGCCAGGATTTGAGTGTCGAAATGCAACTATCAAAGAAATAATCAAATTAGGCTTTGCGTTGTATTTATGTATTGTAGGTATTCCAGGGTGTATACATTCTATTTGTATTTATTCTAGGGTGGACTTAGCATATGCAGCTGTCTAGGGCAGGAGGTGTAAGGGGAAACTTTTGAGGATGTCCCAGAAGATAGTAATATAATAATAATAATCGCCCCCAATAAATTTTCAAACGAGAGTGTTTTCAGTACGTTAATATGAAAGATAATTTTTACCTATTTCATAAGTTGTACAGCTTCTTAAATAATATATTTATTCAAACCAGTTTTTAAAATATTCGGATTCCTGAAATATTTATTAGAAAGAAGTGGGCATCATAAAACAGAATTATGTAACAAATAATATTATTGCTTGCACCAGATGTTTAGAGACTTGGTAATGAGCAGAGGGAATTTGTCTCCTGCACCACCACGCCCGTCTACGAGTACCAGCGGAAAACAAATTCGATTTCGGGTGCTGCGTTAACTCTCAGGACGTGCGAACACAGTTCCCTAAGAGTTATTGTTTTTGTTCTATTACTAGGGAACTCAATCCTTTGATTGCCGAGGGGTCTTAAGTCTACAAGTCTTGCCCAGTATGTATTTATATACAACGATGCTTCCGAGTCCGCTTCTACCCGATTAGATATAAGAGTGGCGGCGCGTTCTTGGCGTAGTTTACGTTGAAGACGGTACGGGCGCGCTGCCAGCGAAGTTTGACCGAGTCTCTCGTGTGCTGTTCTGGTTCTCGATAGCGAATGACCGAGTGCGAATGAGTAGGAAGGAGTGAACTGGGTGACAGATAGTGGTAATCTAAGGGGAGGTGCAGGGGCGTGGGCGTGACTGTACTTTAGTGGTGTCAGATGAAAACATATATTGTCTTATTTTCGGCTGTATCGGCTTTCAATAAACGAATGACGTGTAGTGGAACATAGTGCATATTCCCACACTTGATTCTATGTTGACAATCTGACAAATTTAAAAATGGCAAATACAGGTGTTTTGCCTTTCGTTCGTGGAGTAGACTTCACGAGCAATGATTTTAGTGTGAGTACTAATCTAATATCATTAATTGTAGGTTAAATTTATAGGTAAAATTATATCAGTCGAGAATAAGTTTTAAATAAAAAAAGTACTATACATTTTCATTTTTTAATCTCATTATCTTGTGTCTCTTATTTTAGGATGGAAGATTTCCAGATGCAGTACAATTAATGACAGGTGTTCAGTGGCTGAAATTGGACAAAACAAATCTGGATCAAATTCCCGAAGAGATGGGAAAACTTCTAAAATTGGTTAGGTTTTATAACTGTGACTTGTGTTGATTTATTTTAAAATATCCTGAGTTAAAAAAGTTAGTATGTTTTGGAACTAATGTCCTATTATTTTTTTTCAGGAACACTTATCTCTTGTGAGAAATAATCTTGAAAGATTGTATGGGGAATTAACTGATTTAGCATGTCTCAGAACCCTAAATGTGCGTCACAACAAAGTTAAAAGTTCAGGAATACCTGCAGATTTGTTTCAATTGGAAGAATTAACAACTCTAGATCTTAGTCATAATAAACTTAAAGAAATTCCAGAAGGTCTAGAACGAGCAAGGTCTTTGCTTGTGCTGAATCTCAGCCATAATCAGTAAGATATTGTAATTGATTTGTTTTTTTTTTTGAGGTATTTTTTAATAATTTAATGGCAAGGTTTGATTGGTGTGTTTTTTGTAATGCAAAGAAATTAATATTTGGCTAAAAATAATTTTTATTCTTTGGCTTTCAGGATTGAATCAATTCCTAACGCACTCTTTATGCATCTCACTGATTTACTTTTTTTGGATTTGAGCTCAAATCAGCTCGAAACATTACCACCGCAAACTAGACGTTTGGCTAATCTTCAAACACTTGTTTTGAATCACAATCCTCTTGGTCATTTTCAGCTAAGGTAAGGATATTTTTGAAGTACTCATATTAAACTCTGTAAGCTGTTTTTTGAATGGTACGTATGTAATTCAATAAAATTGTTTATTGTCATGCAATTGAAAGATTTGCTATTTCTTTAATGTTACTAGGCAGCTTCCATCATTGATGAATTTAGAAACCCTCCATATGAGAAATACACAACGAACACTGAATAATATTCCAACAAATTTAGAGACACTTACAAACTTAAATGATTTGGATCTCGCTCAGAATAGCCTTCCTAAAGTACCGGATGCTCTTTATGCCCTACCTAACTTAAGAAGATTAAATCTTAGTGACAATGAAATAACAGAGCTCTCGCAAGCTGTTGGTAAGTACATAAGGACATTTTTTTTCCTTTTTATCTTACAAATAATTACTTTAAGGAGAAAATATATACATTAGAATGTAAAGAATTATCAATTACAATAGGCCTATGATAGGGTAGTTTCCCAGATTTAGTAGTTTTGTATCTTTACGAGTTGCTTGCCAAATGTCTGTGTAGCTGAGGTGGATTAATACGTGAACATACAGTCCATGTTTAGGGTCCTCAATTATTTTTTAAATTCTGAAGGTTATACTTCATTTTCAAACTTCTTTTTATTATTTATGATAAATATTTCATTATTATCAGGGAATGCCATTGTTCAGTCTTGCCCCTTACATATTATTTTGGCCCTGCATGCAAGCGTGTCTAGCCATGAATATTTTTGCAAATTTTATCATCCCATCACTTGACGATCTAAACATGTTTTACAGAATCCAATCCCAGTTTTTTTTTAATGATGCCCCTTAATTAAATACATATTCAGCATATTTTATCATATCAGTCTTTTTGCATCTAAGAACGTTTTTCAGAAAATTTAAAACTTTCATTTAACTTAACATCTAAATGGTTGTCAAGTATATTTTTAAAATTTGGGCATTTATGTTTTCATATTTTTATATGACTTTTAAATAATTTGTATCTTTCCAGAAATGTGGCAGAGATTAGAAGTTCTCAACCTGTGCAGAAATAAATTGACAGCCTTACCACCATCACTTTGTAAAATTACAAGTTTGAGAAGATTGTATGTGAATTACAATCAGCTTGATTTTGAAGGCATACCTTCTGGAATTGGTAAACTCTGCAATTTAGAAGTATTTTCTGCTGCCAATAACCAACTTGAAATGATTCCTGAGGGGTTGTGTCGGTGAGTAAAATGTCATTTCAACACATATTGAATTATTTCAATAAAATGTGGAATAATTCAGTATTTGTCAACCTTGCTTCAGTCTCAAAACTACTTCAGTGAAATTCTAATTGAGTCAAACCTCAAATGGAATACCTATTTAAGTGAATTGAACTTAAATTAAGTAAATTCATTGAGCTAAGCATTCAGTGTTTTTTAAAATTCAATTGGTCTTCACGCAGTTCAATGCATATAGTATTTCACAATAGTTCATACCTACTTGTGAAATGTAATAATATCGTGGAAAAAACTCATAGTTTTCAAACTTTGGATTTCAAGAATCATATGAAAAATAGATTAGTCTCACAATGTGATTCCTGTAAGCTCCTCTTTATTAAGTTTTCTTTTGTTAATTCATAACAACATTCTATGGTTTCACGGAGTGTAGTTGTGCAATTTGGCTTGCAACGCTCACTAATTCTCTTCCATCTTCACGATTCCGACATTGTCTTGTTCTTTATTTATGAATCAGTGTTCTTTGTCAAAACTGTGTTACTCAGGGATGGGAACATATTTTCATTCGATATATAAACATATGGATGTCTACAATTATTACCTACAATGCAGGAAGCAGCAGTTCACTACAAAAAATTCACCTTTGAAACATGTACATTATTTTAATTCACATTGTCAGTTGCTATTAAATGATTAAATCAATTCAAATGTTATTTAATGAAATAGTTAGCTTTTGTATTACTGATTAAGTCTAAAAGGCTAAATGTGCCTACAATAAGTATTGTACTTCACCTTCTAGGTCAATAGCCCCCATCTTGATCATGTTTTCTGTCCAGTTTCCCTATATCTACAGAGCAAATGCTTCGATGAACACTTTGTTTTGCTTCTAGACTTCAGTGTCTTGTCATTGTCAAGCACATTTTTGTAAGCTCTGTGAGGTGGGAAATATAATTATTCAAAAAATTGTCCATTTTGCAGCAGTAAGTTGATTTCTTGCAGAATGTTAAGGGATAAGAAATGCTTTTGCAAATAGTTTTTGTTACATTGAAGAAAATATTTTCTTATTTATTGTGTCAAAAATGCTTGTTTCTAGGTATGTATATTCGTTATTCAACTTAATATTGTATAAGAGCTAGAGTAGGGATTCCTGAGATCAGGAAAATGTACACAGATTCCATTTCTCCCTCATAAAGTTAAATATATAAATAAAGAACAAATTCTATAGACCGCCTTATTACATGATAATCAAGTCATACTAGTAATTGTATAATTCACGATGCCATATTTTTGAATTATTGTAATTTTACGGAAAATGCTTTACTCCACAAAGTTTACATTAAATGCAAAGTGTTAGATAGAGTGTTAGCTCATTATATAGGTTATACATTTTTGCATTCTGTATTCTCCAAGAACCATATGACTTCTAGGCAACCTGTCAGTCTTCTGAACTAAATATTTAACAAGGTATTTTGTTTTCAAACAAGACTCAACTCCTCTCATCTCATTTGCATTGGAATACACGTCAGTCTGTTCCAGGTCCAACACAGATCCTTTGTGAGATTTGTAATTTGTTTAGGAGTAGAAAATTGTTTTGAATTTTGTCTCTGATGGTGCATAACTTACGAACATTTTTCAAAGACGTTATTGATAATTTTGTTTCATGTGAATGTGTATCGTGTATTTTATGTCAGTGTGTAATATAATTGGGTTGAAGATAATCTTGTTGAATATTCAGTATACAGTATATGACACTAAATTTTATATATATATATATATATATATTTTTTAAGAGAAGCAAAAGGACATGTCAATTGTGAATAGATGTAATTTCAGTGTATAAGCGTCTTGTGTTACATTTTGAATTCTGGAACTTAAATAAGTTGATTTGGTTATTAGTTTTAAGAAATTTTTAATCATACAGTTTTTTAATACAATTTTTTGATTTTAGGTGTGGTTCCCTGAAGAGATTGATTCTTACATCCAATAAACTTATTACTCTCCCAGATGCCATTCACTTGTTAACAGACCTTGATGCTCTGGACTTGCGTAATAATCCCGAGCTTATTATGCCGCCAAAACCAACTGACATGCAGCGAGGTGCTGGTATAGAATTTTATAATATTGACTTTTCATTGCAACACCAATTACGTTTGGCTGGTGCAAACATACCAGCTCCAGTTACAGCATCTGGTATGTATTATAATATTAAATACAATAATATAAAATTAAAATAAAAGTGATTCACTAATTAGTTTCCTGTTTGTTTAATCTGTATAGCAAGATCGTAGATAATTTCTCATGAATGATCTAATGTTCCTTATTATTCTTGTTTAAATATACATACAGTATTACTGTGTTTGAGTTGTGACAAGAGAATATTATTTTGAGAGGTGGGGAAAAAAGAACATTGATTTATATTATTCAACTTGATTAATCAAATATAATAGATAAGAAATAAAAAGTCACTGTATTCATGTAGGCAATTTTGTTACTCATGTTTAAGTAATTTCATGAAATTCATATTTAATAACTGCTGTAGCTGCAGAGTCATAGTTCTGGTTTTTCCCATTTTATTGTGGAATTAAATAAATTATTGAAACAGAAATTAATTGTTTGTATTGCAAAATAAGGTACTATCATGGATGGAATTTTTTTACAGTATTTTCACTATCCAGTGAGCTTAAGAAAGAAAATGATACATTATAATAGTTGTGCTTAAAAGTTAAGAGCAAAAAATAACACTAGTTCATTTACTATTTTAGTAAAATATATTGCTTGTATCCACATTTTAATACTTCAATTTACATTGTAGGGCAAAGTAAAGATCCTATTGCACGAAAAATGCGACTTCGTAGAGGCCGTCGTGATCAAGAAGAAGCTGATCAAGATCAAGCAAAAATTTTGAAAGTAAGCTTTTTATGCTTGAATATTTATTTTATTATAAGAGAACATTCTCTTTGTTTATACATGACCTCACAAAATTAGAACATTTTTTCTGAATTATAGCAGTGGAAACTTGCCATCAATTAAGTTTTTATTGTCTGTATCTGAATTAAATACTTATTAATAAAATACAAAATTTAGATACTTTAAAATCTCAGTTTTGTAAATATATTCTGTATTGACTACTGATATACATTCATTCTAGGGAATGAAAGATATTGCCAAGGATAAAAACAAGCACAAAAATGTGGAAGAAATGAAAGCTGAGTCACTTAAGTAAGTAGTTTCTATGTACACTCCTGTAAATCATTAAACATATGGGAGTATAAAATCCATGTTGCTGATATTTAAAATTACTAATTGTAGGAAGGATGTTTTAAGAGTATTTTTATCTGCGTGAGGAATTCATGAGGAGAAATCTTTTGTCACGAATTAACTGATGATTTGGAGACTTTAAAATCTCTCATATTAGGAGCTTAAAATGTGAAAGTAGGCATTATAATATTTTAAAGAGACAATGTTGATTGGGATAAAAATGCTTTTCAGAATAAATTTTTTTGTTTTTTACATCAATAAACACATGCTTAGCTCATTAGCAACCAACCATTTAAACAATGCATTAAGAGCGCATCCATAGCAATGACCATCAAATGCTTCAGAGACCATGAAAAATATTTTAGTGGGTTTAGATCTTACCAGTGCTCATAAATCTTTGGATAAATAAGTCGTTGCTACAAAACTGAATTTTTGGGAATAAATGTGAACAAAATTTATTTTTACATTTGTTTTGGTACAGATATATGAGGGTCACCCTAAAACTAAGTTTCCCTATTTTATAAAAACTACAAGAGGGTTATTTACACTTTCAAAACTATTTTATTATCATTCTATTATTCCTACATTACTTTTCCCACATAGTAACCATTTCTATCCAAACACTTTTGGTACTTTTGCAGCAAGTTTTTGATACCTTCGTTATACCAAGTTACCTCCTGTTGCTGAAACCTGTTGTTCACCTCCTCTTCCACCTCTTCATCATTCACAAACCGCTTGCCTCCACGGTGCAACTTGAGTTAAGGAAAGATATGGAAGTCACTGAGGGCCAGGTCCAGAGAATAAAGGGGATGTGGGAAAAAGTTCTGCAGTAAATCCTGGGTCCTTTAATCTGCATGGAAAACAGTTAATCACCCTCTCTTTGAAGCATTTGCAGAAAAGTTCAGGTCACCTCGATCTGTTGCTTGTGAGCATCAATGAGCAAATGTGGGACCCATTGCACATAGCCTTTTCGAGAATCAGGATCGTCCCAATAGAGGAGCATCCAATTTCCATACCAGGAGGCAGTCGAATCTGTATGTCATCAATGCTGATGCATTGATCTTCCACCACATTCTGATCGGCAACAATGGCCACATTTGCCATCCATACAGGATCCATGAATGCCACCAGTGAACCATTCGGATGGTCATGCATACATAACCATAACCACAAACATACACTAACTGGTGATGAATATTGATAGCCGTTTCTTTTCTTCCTGTGAAAAAAGTAAATAACAAAATGCACAATATACATGCACGGTGAACATGAACGAGTCACATGCTGATGAAGGCTAAGGGCTGCCACTATACCCTAATAAATGTTCCTAGATTACCAACTTGAGTTTAAACCATTAAGTATGCTGAAGAAAAATAGAGAAACTTACTTTCTGGATGACCTACGTATTAAAGTCACAATTTTTTAAAATTATTACTGTATATAATGCCATTTGAAACTGTGAAATTTAACTTCATTAGTAATACAAGAAATAAATTCTAAAATTTTTGTCTCTGATGTCCCCTTGTTTGTGTATCCCATTTTGATCCTTTACCTCCCTTTCCCATGTGTTTCATTTGTCCCCTTGTTCCATTTTATCTTCATTCCCTGCTGTTGTCCCCCTATCCATACTTTTGCTCTACTTGTCCTCATTCCATCCCCCTCTGTACTTTTGGTCTTTCTGCATCCTGCAATTGTTATTTAAAAATAGTATCAAGTCCCTCTTCCAACAAACCTTGCTACAGAACATTGAGAGTTATGACAATTCTTTACTCATGAGAGTGTTAAATATTTATTTTGAATATATTATTGTGATACACTGTTTTTTGTTATTGCTAGTTTATGTACCACGTCCCCTACCAGTCTTTAAGTTTTTGTCTGAAAGATTAACTGCGATGCGGAGAATTAGTGTGTAGAAAATATGCTCTTCGTGCAGCAATGTTTTTGTTCTTTGATGAAACGCCGTTATCATGCGGGAGTAGCAGTAAATATTTACATATTTACAATGTAGCAAAGGTTTACACTGCTATGAAGCTTGGACACAATGTCTGTCGCTTATAGATGCAAAAAAAAAGTGTCAGATTTTGCTGAAATTTTCACACTGTTCTTATTAACATCCATAGTTTTTAAAGAGTGGTTTGAATTAAATCAGACATGAAGGGGAATTGTTGATAATGACAGGCTCAGTATATAGAAGCGCTAGGCAACAGGTTGCACCATCACGGATTAAGCATGTATTGGCTCATATTCTGCCCCTGCAATAGTGAAATATCTGCTGGAATTTTAAAGACCCATATTACTTGACCGTAATCAAATTTCTCCAAAACAGTGTCATAGACAAAGCATGTCCAAAGTTATGGGAGAACGTTTTAACAATAGGATACTTCAGAACAATGTCCCAATGAGAGAACAACCCCATATTCATGAGAAAGTCTTTCTTCTATTAGACTTTTTGCAGAGCATAGTGTAAAATGCGTTTAACAATCCACTTGACCAGTGACATGTGAAGTGCAATTCACTGCAGTAGAGCTGACCCCCTAGTTGAATACAAGTTGAAGTTACTGAATATCCAAAGAGAACAAGTTGCATTGCTTTAAATAAAATTATTACGAATTTATTGTTTCAGACCTAAAAGATGGGATGAAACTCTTGAGAAACCTCCTTTGGATTACTCTGAATTCTTCGATGAAGATGTTGGACAGATTCCAGGCCTGACAATTTGGGAAATTGAAAACTTCCTTCCAAATCAAATTGAAGAGGTAGCTCATGGAAAATTTTATGAAGGTGATTGCTACATTATCCTCAAAACTTTCTTTGATGATACTGGATCTCTTTCTTGGTCTATATATTTTTGGATTGGTGATAAATCAACAGTAAGTATAAAGAAATATTTTGAATATATTATTAGACATGAACTCTTTGTTTTCCCTTGTTGGGTGCACATCTCATAATTTAGTGTTAATTGCTACATTTCTAGTACATGATAAGTCTATATTAAAATTAGTAGCTGAGATGAAGTTTTCAGATGTAATTAAAGACAATCCTTTTTAATGTTGTGATGAAGGTGAAGAATGTAGTAGAAGAGTAAAATGACTCCATAAAACTAAGTTCTGCATTGATTGTCTTTAAGTACCTCCCCTGCAATTTATACAAATGTTTTGAATGATGGTGATGATGATTTATTAAGTTGTTTTCCAATAATTTTGTAGCTGGATAAAAAAGCTTGTGCTGCAATACATGCTGTCAATTTAAGAAACTACTTAGGTGCACAGTGTCGCACAATACGTGAGGAACAAAGTGATGAATCTGAAGAATTTTTAGCACTCTTCGAAAACGATATAGCGTATATAGAAGGTGGTCGTACTGCTAGTGGATTTTTCACTGTTGAAGATATGGTAATTCTTAATTCTATCTTTCCTAATTTAATTTTATTTATGGACATGATTTATTTAGTGATAATTGATAGAGAACAATTTCTTTACTTTTAGACTTACGTTACTCGTTTATATCGAGTCCATGCTGCTGGTTGCTCATCTATCCACATGGAACCCGTCAGCGTTCTAGTGGATTCTTTAGATCCTCGCTATGTCTTTGTTTTGGATACTGGTTTAAAGATCTTTATGTGGTATGGAAAGAAATCCAAAAACACCTTTAAATCAAAAGCAAGGTATAATGCTTAAAGTTGAATATTTACTATTTTCTTTGGAATGTATAATAATCATATCAGTTACTTTCCGCAACCATTCGTCAGTTACAATTTTGTAATTGGTTCTTCATTAGGTTCAACCATTTCTATAATTGATATTATTATATTAATCTTCATTTTAATAGAAAGAATAATTTCACATCGAAAACTTTTGTTTTTAATCAATTTAAACAGTTCTTTAGAATGATATCAAAATCTCCCTCCTGCAAAACGCTACCCACACAGGGCAATATCCAATCAACATTATAATTTGCATTATCAAAAATTATGCGTTTTCAAAAAATGTTCAAAAGTCTTGGGTTTCTGATGTATTAAATTTTGTTGATAACATTTAAATTATCTTCACCTCTTACTTTCTATTGAATTCTACTAATAGTTGATGGAACTATTTTTTCTGAACTGTTGTGTTCAATTTATCTGAAATGTTTAAGGGCATGATATGTAAATACTTTGGAAATAATGATTAATTGTTTCTTCTGTTTTGGTTTTTAGTTTAATTATGACAAATATTTACTTTCACATTTTTTATAGGCTAATGGCTGAGAAAATAAACAAAAATGAACGTAAGAACAAAGCAGACATTGTAACAGAAATGCCTGGAGATGAAAGCTCAGACTTCTGGAGGACTATTGGGCTAGAAGATGGACTACCTCCAGAAGATCCTATCACTGTAATTTATGCAAATCATGTTTATTTTATTGTACATCCATTTTATTAAGGTTTAAATAAAGGCTTTTTTCTAATGTTCAGTATTTTGAAGTGTTTGTAGGAACTTTTTTTTAGAATACATCATATCACTGGTAATGAAAAGAACCAAATTTCTTCATTAGATATTGTTACATGCATAAACTATTGATCCTGTGTTGATTATTTAAACTATATCTTTTGATTTTGAGAGATTTTATTCCTTTTCATTTTTGCATTCATTAAGAGGTAAAAATTGTATAACTAATTTTTCTGAAATTATTTTTAACAGGAGCATGTGGAAGAGAATTTCATTCCTTTTACGCCTCGATTGTATCAAGTAAAACTTGGTATGGGTTATTTGGAACTTCCACAAGTTGAAGTGCCTCATGGAAAATTTGAAAATACCTTACTCAATAATAGAAATGTGTACATCTTAGATTGTTTTACAGATGTGTTTGTCTGGTTAGTATGACTTATTTTTACATTAATATTTTTTCTTTACTGTGTATGGAATCTGATACTTAGCTGTATGACTCTCCCCATAGTTACGCTTGGGTCCTTTAAATTTCATAACTACAGTTCTAAACATTGTAACAGAACATGCAAAAGTATAATTTCATTATTGTAATTATATAAAGTCAAAAAGTGGGCCTGAGACTACATTAAATAATAGTTTCAATGGAAGGTTTGATTTTTTTGTCAAATTGAAAGTCTTTATCACTGTTATATACGTGTTCAATTGTGGTATTTGTATCCAACTTATATCTTTGTCAGTTATCCTTTAAGGGTGTGTATATTTTCAGTGTTTATTGTTAAAAACAGAACTGTAACAAAAATATAGATAATAAGGCAGCAACAATTTTATGTACCAATTCGTAAATTATGTAATAAGGAAGCTAAAATTAGTGTGTTGCATCTATTAAGATGCTGTGCATTTTTTCTGTTGTTGTTGTTTTTTTGTTCCTCTTAATGAACAACCTCTTTTGAAGGTTTGGAAAAAAGTCTACCAGATTAGTTCGTGCTGCTGCTGTAAAATTATCCCAGGAGCTTTTTACTATGATATCAAGACCTGAATATGCCTTGGTTACTAGAGTTCAAGAAGGAACAGAGACACAGGTAATTTACTTATTACTCTTAAGATTTTAAATAGAAATGATATCTCTATCTATATAAGCAATAGAAAGCCTATACCTAGAAGTTAAGGTTAAAATTCAAAACATGGATGGAAGCACCTCTGAATCAATATCCATAAATGTAGGACTACAACAAGGATGCATACTTTCCCCCTTATTATTTCATAAATAAATCAAAATTATTTAAAAAAATGCTTATCTTACATACGACAATATGTATGTCATTGGATTTGTCTTTTTACTCTTGTCATAATTGACTGAAAAAATGTGTATTGTTCCATTTGAAAAAACAAAAGTTATCTCGAATATCTCATAAAATACAAGTGATAAAATAAAAATGAATACATGCATCAATTAGCCCACTTCCGTGAAAACTGCATTGCAATGACTTCAACCATTCAAAAGTTATAGGAGATGCTGAAGTTATGTGACTCAACATGTATATGAACCATATGATTATAGAATGGAAGAAGGGGGAATAACGATGAGAGACAAAAGGAAATAGCAACAATATTATATGCTGATGATCAGGTAGTACTAGCCACAACTAAAGAACTCTATAAATCTGTACACTGGCTAAACAAAAAGCAAAAGAATTTAAAATGAAAATTTCATTAGGAAAAACCAAGGTAATGGGAATAGCAGGAAAATATTACTGCACAGTAAAAATTTTAATAGGTAAACAGAAAATTAAACGAGTAGCAACTTTCACATATCTAGGCAACAAGATATCAGTAAGAGAGGAAGATATAGAAACAAAACTGGCAAAATTTAACAAGATCAATGGCTGCAAACAGACATTTCAGAAACATTAATAAAGAAACAAAAACAAGAATTCACAACATGGTGCAAAACCAACCCTACTATTTGGCAGTGAAACATTGACACTCAAACAAACAAACAGAAAATAGAGGCTGCACAAATAAGGTGTCTGAAAGTAGTACTTCAAGTAACTAGAAAAGACAAAATAAGGAAAAAAGAAATACAGAAAACACTCAATGTGGTCGCTGAAATCGAGAAATACCAGGCAAATTGCAAGAACATTTGAGAAGTATGCAACCAAGTAGACTTCCAAAGATGGTAAAGAATTACAAACAAAGAGGAAATAGAGACCTTGTCAGACCAAGGAAATGGTGGGAGGTCCAGGATCACCTTAACCAATGTAGGAGAATATAGTTGCGTAGGCTTAGATACCTAATAAATAACTAATGTAGGAGAATACCGGAAACAAGGGACAGGGTGTGGGACCTGAACCGTAATTCGTTAATGATGATGACGGTGGTGGTGGTGGTGGTGATGAAATCTATTTTATAGTGGTGGTGGTGGTGGTGGTGATGAAATCTATTTTATAGTTAGTAATTAATACTAAAGGCAAGTAGCTTTACCATTTGAAAGAAATATCAAAATAATACTAATATGATTTGTGTGTTTATCCAAGTTTTATAGGTATTTTAATTTTATTTACTTTTACACCAAACATGTTGCTTCGAAAACAGGCAAAGGTGGCTCAGACCATTAACTGATGCCCTTGTAGGGCCCTAAGCAGCCAAACCCACGGTTTGGGTAGTTTTCCTTGGTTTCTCTGGTTCTCACCAGGCGAATGCTGAAGCAGTACCCGAACAAATGAGTCATGGGCCACGTGCAACCTTTCCTTCCTCTTCCTTGTCCTTTCCTCAGCCTTTACTTCCACACATTTCCACTCACATGCACTACAATATTAAACTTGCCAGAAGCTTTGAGCTTTCTCCAACTGTGGCGGTGCCCTGCTGGCAGATCTTACTTGCGCAACGTTTCTTGAACGATGACCTTGCTTCCCCCTCTCTGGCACAATAAACAGACGAAGGCAAAAACTTGCAGTGAGCACTGATGACAACATTCCAAATACATCTTCACTAATGACACAGGCAGACTAATGGACACATATTGACCATGGTGCGTGTACACCAAAAAAAAAAAAAAAAAACACTCGGACATGAATTTTTTAGAATGAATGTCAGTGTTAAGGCATGTTCATGTTCTTAAAACATTGTATTGAATTTTACTTAGTGGATTTTACTTTAAGTTAATGTGTGTGGTTATTTTCAGATTTTTAAGTCAAAATTTACGGGCTGGGATGAGGTTATCGCTGTCGACTTCACAAGAACAGCAGAATCTGTTCAGAAAACAGGTGCTGACTTAACCAAGTGGGCTAGACAGCAAGAAACAAAGGTTAGACAATCAATGTTCTCTACATTGCAGGATATAGTTGATAGTGTTTTATACTCTTGTAAAAGGTATTTCCATTGAAGTGTTCTCTGAAGTCCAAGAATATTCTAAGTTATTCAACTAAATATTCTTACTTTTTCAACAGGCTGATTTGGCTGCACTTTTTACTCCTCGCCAACCACCAATGTCACCTTCTGAAGCCCAACAGTTAATGGAAGAATGGAATGAGGATTTAGAAGCAATGGAATCATTTGTTTTGGAAGGAAAGAAATTTGTTCGCTTACCTGAAGAGGAACTTGGTAATTTCTGTTTACTGCTCAATTTAACTGAAAAAGCCAGGAATCATGAAAATGAAAAATTAGCAGTGGTTCTTCTTCTTCTTTGACGGTTTCTACCCCTTAGAGTTTGCTGTTTTTGATTTCCATAATTCTCAGTCCTCCCATTGACCCTCTTCTAATCCTTTCTCATCCATTACTTCATGTATATATGTCATCCAGGTTAAACCAGGTCTACCTCTTCTACGTCTTCTTTCAGGTATCCAATTTAAAATTTGTTTTGGCCATCTCTCATTTCGCATCCTCTGGACATGTCCATACCATTGAAGATCTTTATTTTCTAGTCTTCTGGTAATGGTTGTTCTCCCAGTGTTCAGTTTTTTCAATTTTTACTAATTCTTTAACTTCTTTTCTCTTTTCTACATATTCCTTTTGTGTGTTGTCATTCCTATTTGAAATCCATGTCAAATACAATTTTTTCTTTTCCTTAATCATGCTTTTTAAATTTTCGCTAAATTTCTCTACAAACTTGCTTTTTTCTTGCTTCCTTAGCTGCTTAAAAACAACCTCTTTTAAATGATTGTACATTTCTTTGGGACTTCTATCTTCTGCGTTTTCTAGCTTATTCTTAATTCTGTTTTGGTAGAGCATCTCAGCACTGTATTATTTAAAATGTCTGTTTTAAAAATTACATCGTTTTCTTCAATTAAAAAGTCTGTATCATTTTCAGTACATCTTTGTTTATTTCTAAAAGGAAAAACATGTTTGCTCACTACCATATGATGATCAGTTCCACATTCTGGTTGATGGTATACTCTGACAACATTCAGTTTAACTCTTCTTTCATTCTTCACCACAACTAAATCAATTACAGATTGAATATTTCTTACTGGATCTATTTGTGTATATTTGTGGATGTTTTTATGTCTGAACAATGTATTCGCTACACATAGTGCATGTTCCTTACATAGATTGATTAATCTTTTTCCATTGTCATTAATATTTTCCTCTTCGTATTGATCTACTACTTCACGTTCTCTATTACCTACTCTGCTATTAAAATCCCCAATTAATATTATTTCATTTTGATACAGAATACTCGCTATAGTTTCGCTGAGGTCTTGAAAGAACTTATTCTTTTCATCTACAAGTGCATTATCATTTATGGCATATACCCCTAAAATTGTTATCTTATAATGAAAAATGTTCATGTCTATTCTTAGTATCCTTTCATTAATATTCTCTATCTGTTTAATGAATTTTGTCCATTTAGTTTAATAAGGAAAGAGACTCACTTTCCTTATTAAGAAATTCACTTCTAGCTCTAAAATCTTTGGGTACACCACTCCAAATATGAAGATATTCATCCAAAATTTCTTCCCCTGTCTGTTGTTCTTCTTTTCCATAAGTATAATTATGTTCAGTTTCAATTTTTCAATTTCTGAGATGACGTCCCTCTGCTTTGTTCATAGGCCTTGTATATTCCACGTTCCAATTTTCATTGTCCGTTTTCGTAGTCTTTGTCGTACATTTAATTTTGGTCTGGTCCGAGGCATTTTTAAATCGCTTTGAACTGGAGTTTTTTTTATGGAGCTGGGATGTTAGCCCTGTGTCCAACCCTCATGCGTAATCCTGGAGGTAAATTTTTTTTTCAGGGTTGTCATACCTTAGGAAGGTTGGTTCCACCACACCTACGGAGGCCCCCCTCCCCCCTTGGTTTTCTGTCAAGGTTTCCTTCCCTTAGCTCATGGTTCCCGTTTTAAGGCGCTGGAAACTCGCCTTTCGTCCCACCCTTTTCGTTACTCTGTAGGTTCTCACCAAGCAGAGCATTCAGGGCCACCACAAGGAGGTTTGGGAAGGGACTTGATGACTCAGCCTTACTACAAAGGCTCCCCATTACAGGAGGGGCTTTCCTGGTATTTAATGGTGTATACCTATGAGCCTCCGTATACCCCACCAGGGCCTGAGTCGTCCATTAGGACCCCTAGCAGTGGTTGGGATGCCAATTAATTGTTTGGAATTGTCGGGCAAACATTGCTTTTACTGGACAAACAGGTTTGCAAAGAAATTGCTCCTTCACAATCTTTTCTGATCGGAAAAGCAGCTTGAGTACAGAAGATAATCTCAGCCCTCTTTGTATACACCACATTGACTTTATTTCTCCATAACCTTCTATGAGATTTCGCCAGTGAACTGGTTGTTTGACATTGCATTGTTAGTGTCCAGAAAAGTCATGGAAGGAAAAGTCCTGACATTTTAGTGGCACCAATATCCTCAATTTGTCAGACATTTATTTAGACAATGAGTTTAATATAAATTATATAATTAATGAAGATCCAGAAATATGTGATATCCTTTTCCATGTTCTTCAGAAATTTTTCTGGGCAATTATTTTTCACAGAGTTTCAGTCAATATATCTGCATCATTTAAGTGGGTATCAAAATATTTTTGAAGTACGTAATTTTCAGACAAGTACATTGTGCAGGGGTGTGGACATGGCTCCTTCTTGGCAACATTTAGAAATAGAATGTGGAATATTAAGAAAACTTACTTAACATGATATATGATATAAATAATTAATTCCTTTGAGAAATAATTTGACATCATTCACTAACCTAATCCTATTGTACTTACCACCTGCTGAAATCACTCCCAGCCATAAAGCATGTGAATACATTCAAATAACTAACAACTCTTTTATCTACATTTTTAACAAAACTCAAATCTGACTTGTGCAAAATATAGAAGAGTTAAAACATGCTTGATACAGGGAGCATGTGGGGGAAAAAGAACTTGTAGCAGATAACAAACAACTTTTCTTAATTTTAATGGTGACGTTTCTTGAATTTGCTCTGGAGATTTTCCCCTGGTATATGGACTTCATTCTTGGTAATAAATTACCTTTATTCATTTTCACCAAAAAGAAATTTGAATAGTTTTAATCTTTGTTCATTTGAATATCTGCAACTCTTCAGTGTGAAAAATGTTACTTTCAACACACTTACAGAATTCTGAGAAATCAGCTACTAAAAATTGAAGTTATCTTCATGCACTAGCAAAATTTCTTTATTGAGTGACATGTCTTTACTATTTTTTACTCATATTTTATCCATATGCTTTCTTTTTTTTCAGTTCTTTCTTTTTAATGATCAAATGATCTTGTTCACTAGTTCTTGCCAATTGCTTTTAGATAGTACAAGTCATAATTTCTAGATATTTTCATTTCAGTTCACTATTTTTCCTAACACAATGTATTTTGAAACAAAACATTTGCTTTTTCTGAATTGCAAAGTCAGATGATACAATACATAAGCAAAAACTTATTTTTGTTTTGCATTTGCACTTTCAATTTGACATCTTCTTTGATATGGTGTGTCTGCATTTTAGGACACTTCTACAGCAAAGACTGTTATGTATTCTTGTGTCGATACTGGGTCCCCATTGAAGAACCAGATGAAGGAGCTGCTGAAGGAGAAAGAGAAAATGAACATCAGGAACAAGTGGAGGATGATTACCAATGTGTTGTGTACTTTTGGCAAGGAAGGGAAGCATCAAATATGGGATGGTTAACATTTACATTCAGGTATCAAAGGACGTTTTTTTCTTTTCTTTTCTTTTCTTTCTTTCTTTCTTTCTTCTTTTTTGTATTGATATAATATGTAGAATATATGAAACAATAGTTATTTATGTACTTGTAAAGCAATTTTGTTGGAATACAAATGAAATGTTTCTGGACAAGGTGACGATATGAACCTAGTCTGAAATTTTGAACAGAAGATAATGACGCATTCATACAAGTTGCTTACATTACTTTATTTCCTCGCACTTTCTGTAATTGTACACTGGAAAACAGCGAATTATCAGCAAAAACTCTTAATGCCGGGCCTTGGTAATGAAAAAGTGGATAAATTCTGTTTCTATATATAGTAAATTACTTCCTCTAACATCGTGTAGCCAGAATCCATGTTTTGTGGGTCATTGATACTGAAAAATTGGATAGTGATTTTTGACTTCAACAAAGTCTGTTCTAAGAAAACAGCTCTTTAATAAAGGTCATGTACATTTTTTTTTAACTAGTAGATTTCACATTATGCAATAAAAAAAATTTAAAAATCGCATCAAATTTTTTCATTAACTTTCTCCTTTTTTGTAACAACAGATGGTAAAAAATATGGTGCCAGTCCCATTTTCAGCGCTTCTATAGCATAGTGTATGGTGAGCTAACTTGGAAGATCTGAGTTCAAGTCTCAGTAATAAAAATAATTTTTCCTACACTTGTATGTTTATGTAGTAATATAACATAGCAGAGCAGTTTGAAATAACACGAAAAAGTATATGACGTAGCGCCACTAGTTTTAGAATTAATTCAAAGAAACTTAGAAGTATTTACTCATTGACAATATGCTAATGACAGCTGTGCAGATTCATTGTCGTAGGGTTTTGTAAATTTTGTTGTACCCAAAATTCTATAATAGAAATAATGGAAATTCTATGATAGAATAAATGGAATAATTAAAAACCACTTCGGGAAGGATATGGCACAAGAAACCAAATTGAAAATACACATGACAGCCAAACCAAAGCTATTATATGGATCTTAAAACAAAGAGACAACCAAAGACTATATGCAGCTCAAATGAGATTCCTAAGACACCTCCTTGGCTATACTAGACTGGATCGACAGAGAAATAAAGACATAAGGGAAATATTGAAGGTAACAAACATAACAGAAGTTAAAAAAAAACAACAGAAAAAATGGCTGGAACGTATTAAAAGAATGAACGAAAGAAGATTTCCAAAGGCTACCCTAAAATGTACGCCACTTGGACTGAGAGATATAGGAAGACCAAGAAACAGGTGGATCATGCAGGAACACCTGGAAGACTGAAGTAGTAGTGTCTGCTGCTTAACCAGGAACAGTCCCCCCTTGGCATTTCATTCCACAGTTCACGATAATGATGATGATGATGTACATGTACCAAGTTTTTCTTTATTGTATTATTGTAGATAAACTATACTATTACACTATATTATAATCTTTGCTCTATGTTTACCACAAATGAAAACTTTCCAATCTTTAAACTGAATGGAAGTACCAGTTTCCATGCACGATTGCTAACAAATGTATCTTAATCTAATTAATGTTGGTATGTTTTGGATATGTGAACTTTTGTCTATAGGATATTTCATGTAAATTTTTTGCAAATCTTTTCAGTTTGCAGAAGAAGTTCAAAAGCCTCTTTGGCGAGAAACTAGAAGTTATAAGAACTCACCAACAACAGGAAAACCTTAAATTTATGGCACATTTCAAACGCAAGTTTGTTATTCATCAAGGGAAAAGGAAAGAAATCCCTGACCCCAATTTGCCACCTCCAGTAGAGTTTTATCACTTACGCTCAAACAGTAGTTCTCTGTGCACAAGACTGATACAAATCAAACCTGATGCGGCTGCTCTAAACTCTGCGTTCTGGTAGTATCTTTGATTTACATTTACTAAAATTTAAATATTTCTTTTTTTTTTTTTCTAATTTTGATTTTTCATTCCACAGCTATATTTTGAAAGTACCATTAAATAAAGAAGAACAAACTGGAATAGTGTATGTATGGATAGGATCCAAATCTAATCCAGAGGAAGCACGTTTAGTGGAAGAAATTGCTGAAGAGATGTTTAATAATGTAAGTTATACCTTTTTCCTGTTTGTATGTTGTTGCATATCCAAGCGAATAACACCACAGTACCAAAAGAATATATGCAACTCCCAGTTCGATGCGCTGGTGCCACACCATAGATGAATTAAATCTCAAAATATTAATACTTACTGACAGGCAACGACACTTTTTGATATCATGATCATCATAAACTTCACCTCAGCCAAACCTTATCGCCTCCGTGACATCATGCGAGTCAGCTGAGCGGCAACATGAAACGCTAGCTGTGAGAAAGTAATAATTCCATAATTATTTTGTTAGTTTCATTATGCAGCATGTGCCATTTTTTCACGGTTAATCATAGATTGATTGACACCCAGATTCGCCAAAGGGCCTCAGCTCCACAAAATGAAATGGGTGAAAGCATCATTTCAAACTTTGCTCCCAGAAATACTTCAGTATTTAAATGAATGAACATTTTAGCTCTAAAGTGCTTTCAGTGTGTGCCATGATGAGGAGGAAAGATATTGCAGGTAACTATCATTTATCGTAGGTCACTTAAGCTCAAGACACATAGTTCACACTGAAGATATGAAAAAATAATTAGAGCATTCCAGGAATTTTGTTTATTTCCATAAGGCTTGATTTGTGTTTGTGTTCATTGTTATGCAGCTGCACACCACGGTTATAATTTATAACCAAAAATGCATTTTAGGTAGATTTAATAGATTAAATGAGTCGTACACATAAAACATTTGATACTATTAAAGTACCCTAGTATGCAGAGAGCAGTTTGCCTACTTAATAGTTTTATCAAAAACAGAGTAATGACGTAACACTCAGTCATGCTGGCAGATGGTGCAACATGCCAGGTGTCTGCTGTGATGCAGTAGCCAGTCTGAATAGCGCATCTGCAAGTAACATTCAGTTTCCTCATAGACAATTTGTGGGGGCTGGATCTGCTGTACTTCATGAAACAATATAGAATCTGGGGTAATTTTTTTTTTGTAAAATGAGTGTCTGAATACCCTACTTGTGAGCAACAGTGGCCCAACTGCAATCTGGTATGAGAGCAAGAAAGAGAAGAAATGATAATAAATTGCTGGAATATTCCTTGTGTCTCAAATGCACATTTGTGATGCCTATGAGGTCAATTATAAGCAAACTATTCAAAGGATTCCAAATAGTTTTAAAAAGCAAATTGCAGTCTCCCTGTAATGTTAGTAAGAAGTTTTATGAAATGCCAACATCTCACTAGTACATAAAATTTGATAATGTGCACTAAACCTTCAATTTGTTATTATATCAGTCATTAGAATGCAGGGGGTCTGTAACCATAATGACCTAGAAATTAAGCCAGTACTTGTTGAAAATCAGTTTCTTTTATTGGCAATGAAAAAAAGTATTTAAGCTTTTGCATGGGTGCACTAATAAAACTTCAGCTCACCATTAAATAGAACTGCACTTCAGCAGTCTGTTTTTTTAAATCGTTGAATTTGCTTTTTGTATATTGTTTTTTATTTTGAGACCTAAATTCTAAGTTTGTTGCATTTATTATATTTTGGAAGGATGTGAAATATACCAATGAGTTATATGTTGTATTAATGCAAAAACAGCTTATTGGCCCTGAGCCCTTTAATAGTCTTGAATTCTAAAAAAATGTACTTAAGGCTGTTAAATATAGTATTGTGTATTATATTTGTGTATTGTGTTAAATATAGTGCTGTTGTTTGTATAGGTAAAGTCAATTGCTTTTTATGTATAATGAATTTCTTCACTTTTCTTTCTTAGTATGAAACGGAACAATAAGATAGAAAGATACACAACATCATCAGAGTTTACTGTGATCTTGAATGTTACTGTTAAACTTCATAATTATATGAAAATGTGCCTTTTGATTTTGAATAGGAATTGAAGCAGAATGAAGTGAAATGTATTATCTAGGACACTTTCTAGGATAATTTCTACCTATGATCATTAAATTATATATGGAATTTTCATTAGGTTATTTTCCTTGTTCAAAAACTGTTTTCTTTTTCCCTTTTCAATATTTTGATCATTGCATCTAAATATTTAAGTTTTTACTGCAGAACTTGAGTCCAGTAATAATATTGATATCAATATTAATTTTTAAGGGACTCGTATTCTCTAGTTAGGACGTTAATCTTACAATCTTATTTTGGGGAGCAGCAAATGAATGTGAAGAATATAGCCTTTATTTAAGAAAAATATAATTCTTGTCATGACATTCTGATTTTTTTTTTTTAAGGCCTGGATAGGATTTCAAACTTTAAATGAAGGAGAAGAACCAGATAACTTTTTCTGGGTTGCTCTTGGTGGCAGGAAGCCCTATGACAAGGATGCAGATTTTATGAATTACACAAGATTGTTCCGTTGTTCAAATGAAAAAGGTTACTTTACTGTGTCAGAAAAGTGCTCTGATTTTTGCCAGGTAATCCTGTGAACAATTTCTTTAAAAAAATAATACAAATACCTTCCAGGATACAGGATTAATATTCGTCCATTTCTAGTGTTACAACATTTATAATCTGCATCTTCACGAATTTGTGTTTTTAGGATGATTTAGCAGATGATGATATTATGATTCTTGACAGTGGAGAAAATGTATTCTTGTGGTTGGGTGCAAAATGCAGTGAAGTAGAAATTAAATTAGCTTTCAAGTCCGCTCAGGTAACTTGTATTTTATTATATGAAATTGTTTAGGTGCTTTATTAATATTACTGTTCTCTCTGCTGTATATACGATTCATATTTCAGGTATATATACAACACTTAAGAGTGAAACAGCCTGAGAGACCACGCAAGTTATTGTTGGCACTTAAAAACAAAGAGTCAAGAAAATTTACAAAATGTTTCCATGGTTGGGGAATGCACAAAAAGCCACCCGAGTAATGAAAAATTGGTTTAGTAACATATTCACATTGTTTTAAATTTGTGATTAATGTGTTTCACAGATGGTGGTACTAGTTTTGACATTCAAAATAACTATTCTTAGCTTAAAGATATGATCTAGTATTTATTGTGCAATGAATGTCTCTAGTAATTTCCAGCATCACTTCTAACAAACTTGTGCAATACAACTACATAAAATGTACATTTATAATGCACAAAGAATATTGTATATTTTTCTTATAAATATTAATTTATGTTTTTGTATTTTTCATCGATCTTTGAGTGTAAAACCACTTGTTAATTTTGTACCAAATGATTGAAAGATGCAGTGCATGTGAAAGCAGTCAATGCATATTTGTAAAGAATGTCTTTGATAAGAAATTAATATGAAATTAATTAATGAAAAATGCATTTTTTTTATTTGCTCCAGTAAAATAATTGTACCAGAACAAATTTTAGATAAAAGACCCAGCCCTGAGAGTACAGTTTGTACTGCAAAAATATTGACATTTGCCTTTATTATTGCTAATGGAAGAAGACAAATATTAGCTGATTAAAAGTAAAGATTTACTTCCAACAAAATTCCATTAAGTAGCTGTTTTTAAACTCGCATTTAAAATATTGGTATTGTGGGTTATCGTTGGCAATTTACAATAAAGTAATTGAGTCGTCATTGCCAACAATATTGTTTATTACAATAGCTTTCAATGACTTAGTCATCAGTGTACTCATGTTTTTTATATTGTACTAGAAAAAAGATTAGGATAAATAGATTAATAAATTTAGAAAATAGAATTAACATTTTAACAACTGAAAGAAAGAAAGAGGGTGTTAAATCTCATAATATTACAAGTGTGAATTAAGTCATTCAAATGTCATTGTCAATGTCATTCGCTTTCTGTAACATTAAAAAATTTAACACCCCCTTTCTATTTTTCAAATGTTAATTCTATTTTCTAAATTTAAATTATTGTTAATCTATTTTTTCTAATATTTTTGCTCATGTTTTATATTGTACTAGAAAACTGATATTGACTAAGCCATCGAAAGCTACTATTGTAATAAACAATATTGTTGGCAATGACTACTCCTAATTACACATATAAAAGATTTATTGCACTCTTTCCGGCCTAATACAAAAGTTTCCAATCTTTTTCCAGTTGCGAAATTGAAATATACCGACCCACATGTGAATTAATTGAAAATAAAATGAATAATTTCGTAATGATAAATGACAATAGTAAAGTAACATACTTGTTAAACATCCACAAACAGTAAAACTTCATAACATTTCCATTTCTTCTAGACTGGAGAAAGAATTATTTTGGACAGTAAGTATCAGTTACTTATTACATTGAGTATTACAATAAGTAACAGTTGGTTACACACTACCACCTTAAGTTTTAAGTTACTCAGTTCACAATTCAAATTGGCGAGCCATTTGCAGGAAACAATACTATTTCACTTCTTAGGTATGACACTATTTTTCTATGTGAAAATTAGTGTGTACTTCTGTTTTATAAAGACTGCCACATGAAAATGACATTTCAAGGTTTGGAATAACACAACAGTCTCTTCATTAAGTACATCATTTCCTTTATTATCATTAAAAACTTCGAGCAATTAATAATATAATAAACATAAAATTTACATTATATTATTTACAATTTGTTTTCCAGGAACAAATAAAAAATACTATGAACATAATAACACAAGACAAACTTTGTGCAGTATTTATAATAGTGGTATATACAATCAATTTCTACATTATTTTACAAGGTATTTCTCCAAAACATTCAAGCTAGTTTGAAAGTCTTTCTGGAACTTCAGCAAGGACCATAGAATATAAAGATTTTACTCAATTTTTAACTGTTAGTACTTAATTTCAATTTAATTGTAAACTTCCAGCAAGCATATTGAGCGAGACACTAAAATTTCGCTGAATGCTGAAGGGCACTGCCCTGCAAGAAAATATCAAATATATCATTTTCTTATTGAAATTCATACATGCCACATACAATCGTCGGGTTGGCTTACCTCGTATTGTCAGTGGACCATAACATAAAACAATATAATTTACATCTTGAATTAGATAAAAGTTTTCGTAAAATTTCGAGACAAACCACGTAAATAATTACGAGTACTGAGGGTAATCTACTTAGTCGTCGTCGTCATCATCATCAGAAGGTACAAATAAGTCATTTTCTTCTAAGAAATTAGCAATCTTCTTGCTAATGGTGGCACCTATGAGTAAGCCAGGAACAACGGCGAAAACTAAACCAAGTAAACCAAAAGGAACCTTCTGAGGTTCCGGCAAGACTGCCCCAGAAGCTGATGTTGTCGCTTCGCGACAAGATATTTCCTTCTGATGAGGGGCCAGGTTGCCCTTCGCCAGTCGTTGGAAAAGACGAAAATTTGAAGAAGCCATGTTACCAGCCACGGTACTGATAATTTTTAATTTAACTTAGGTTATTACTTCGAGTTCGACTTTATTCCTTCTCTTTTTAAACAAACACCACTGCTTTCCAAAAGAACTGTCGTTTGGTTTAAAACAACACTACTTCAATTATTTTGACTCAAAGCATCTAAAACGTTACCAGTCCGACCAGAACACCACACACCTCACCGCGCCCCACCGGACACTCGTGGTACGAACAGTTGCCTGCACTGCATCAAGCACGCAGTGCGCAAAACTGCAACGTCCAATCATGAATCAGGTCAACTGGCCTGAAGATGTCGATTGATCGCTGGGTACCGAAAGTCAATATGCGCCAATTTCGTATTGAAGGTGTTGTCTTCCAGACATTCTTGTCAAATACTTTGCCAAGATTAAATTATAGAAATCATTGCGTCTACATTAAGAATTCACGAATGCAAAAAAGTTAGGATTTAAACTGACATGTAAGTCCCCAAAAGTAACAAAAGCACTACAACATTAAAGATCACATTTCCGAAGCAATTTGGTGGAAAAAGGAATCAAAAAATTATTTAATCCAAATGACATGAAACAGTCTAGTTTTCTACTTTTAAATAATGAATTTGAAAATTTTTGGGTAAATAAGTACAAACTATTTATTCTTTAATACTTTACTAAAAACAATTGTTTTTTAAACACAAAATATTATAATCTAAATCTGAAATGAAAAATGACAAATAAACACATAAGCTATTTAACTGTGATAAAATGTCACAAGCTTTCATGATTAAAATGTAAAAATGTTCTTGCAGATAATACTATTTATAATTTTTCCTGTCTTTCTTGATTATCATTTGATTAGTATGAATATTAAACTTCTTTATGATATTTCAATTCAAAATAAGGTGGGAGGGAAAAAAAAAAGTTGAATGTTTGAAAAATGTAGAATATCACTTTTTAGTTCATTGGTCTAATCAGTAATTCAAAATGAATATGGTTACATCCAAAATTTTATATAGCAGAGATCATTTCCTTGAAGTATTTTTTAAAAAAATATCTATCAAATAAATCAATGAATTGCATGTTATTCTCAATGGTGATATTTGCAAATTTTCTGTATGAAATTTAGATTATTTGTTGATATGAATGATAAAATCACAAAAGGTAATTGTGAATTACACTTATTTACAATTTAGAAATATTTTAGTCAATGCAATATACAATTTGAATTGTAAGCAGTTTGAGTTTTTTAACTTAAAAATATTGTTTGATTCAGACCTATCATAAACAACAGATTTTTCTGTTAAAGTTCTCTTTTTTGCATGTATTAAGCTGTATGCTAAGAGGGAACCTAATCAAATTTGTGTTTCAAGTCCTTCATTTACATTGAAGTTTAGTTTTCTGAAAGATTGATTGCATTAATAGACAGTAAAATTCAGTTGATCTCATTTAAAATGGCTCTTTTATTATAAATATTCTTCAGTGCCGGACTTTTGTATAAGCTTAGGACCCTACTCTCTTAGGGGGCCTCAAAAAAATAAAAATCCAAAATTCACTTTCATTGATTGTTTCACATAATTGTATAATAAAAATAGTAGAAATCAATCCATGTTTATAAATGTAAAAGTGGAATGCTATTGCAATTTATATCATGACTACTAATTTTTCAGAAGACCATTTATTTACTCAATTCAAATGATAAAAAAAATTCTTTAAGGGTTACCAAGCTTTAAGAGAGAGAGAGCTGTTGTACATAGAATATGATGCTTTGCCCCAAATGTATTTTAATGAACTAATTAAAATTTTATATCACACATGGAAGTAGATAAAAATAAAATATGCAAAGGTCTTATTTTCATGTCAATTGTGATTACATTTTCAATAATTCAATATTATTTGGGTCCCCCAGAATGGCCATTCTTAGGATCCTTTAAATTATAAATATGTCCCTGAATGTCATATGAAATTCATTTATATTTCATGAATGCCTCCCTCTCTAGTTTCCTCCTTTAATAAGTAAATCAAAACAAATAATTCAATAAAGTTTATGTAATGGAGAAAACGTAATACAGTCCTTGTAAACTTATCTCAACTTAATAATGAATACTAACATTAAAATGGAAATAAGTATCAGTCTTACAAGCATGAAATAAGATATTAAATATTGAAAATTAGTAACAAAGAATCTTCAAGATTACATAATATCAATCCTTGATATTTCAAATAATTAAAAGTCTGGAACTGCTAAAATAATCTAACATACCTTATAAGAATGATTGAAAATAAGTAAATTACATGAAGTGAAAAAAAATATTATAAAAGCTGTGAATCAGAATAAAAAATAAGAAACAAATGTGGTTTCAAATAATTGTATTGGTTACTTAATAATTGCAAAGTTTGTAAAAAGTTATAAATGGACAAGTAAAATTAAAATAATATTATCTCCAGAATATGTAGATATTTTAATTTAGGTTTGTTTGACACTGAGAACAGTCTTGTTTCTTGATCAAACTTTGTATCTAAAAAAATATTAATGTAGCAGATCCAGTGGGACGACTTATTATAATAATGCTTTTATTTAATTTTTAAATTTTATTTTCCTATTATAGATTATTGTGGTTGATCTCGGGTTTATAGTGCATCTTAGTCAGTTTTTAGATTCTTACCTGAATGATGGCTCAAAGTATTAATCGTTCACCATTAACAATTATGAGAGAGAGAGAGAGTCCTGAAATTCAGGAGCCCACGATCATAAATTTGATAGTGAACATTACATTCCTCTCTATTTATTTTGTTTGACATTCTTTATGAGTGCTTTTTTACAAAATGAATGGAATTAACACAATAAAACTTATCTAGTGTGTTACTATTTCCAAAAGTTAACAAAGGTAGAAAAATGTTTTTGCATTTTCAAATTATCCTTGAAAAAAGAAAACCTTGGGAAATACATGTAGGATAATTTTGTATTTTATATATTTCACTTATTAATTGAAAGTGGAACGTGGACCTGAAACAATGGAGCTCTTGTTCTCACATTTCGCCATTTCAAGAAGTTGAAATACAACGAAAACAACAGAATATCGGTCATATTTGGAAAGTGCCGTGGCTGAATAGCCACACAGCTGGAAAGAACACAGCCACGCGGGCGTCCGGCGTCAGTTGTTCGCAAAGCGAGTGGCGCGCCGGATCGTGCGATCGTACGAGCTATCCTGTTCACTCGTGCTGACCGGAAAGAACACTGAAATACTTGCTGGGTTGACGTTTGTTAGGAGGCCCCGCGCTTATGCTTGTGTGGGTGCGACTCCAGGTGGAAGAGAGTGGGAGAAGGAGTACAAGTTGAGAATTTGACCGAGTATAAAGTTAAAACGTACAACTTGTCAGTTTGCAGTGTTCATTCTTGTTTCATAGTACTTTCAGATTTAGGAGTGAATGATTGTATTAGATTTCGGTGTGAAGAACTTCATAAATTTTAAGGTATGTGTGTTATGAATTGTTATGTAGATGTGAATAATTTGTTCTATTTTAGCAGTATGTGAATCGTGCTCTCACGGTTTTCTTGTTGAAGGGGACAATACGGAAGAAATGCCATTGATGGCTTTTGCGAACACGACTTCTGTGCGTTGTTTAAATTATTTTGACATTAATATGTTCTCTGAGTTGAATTAGGTCTATGAAATACAATATTAAAGAATGCAATTTGGAAATCTGTTTTGCTGACTTGACATCAGATAATATATTAATATCGATTGATTTGCTTTTACCTTAATTTTATTTAGTAGAGAATTATAACAACTCCTCTCAGAAAAAAACAATATAATTTACTCTTGTTAGACTTTTGTTTTGGGTATCATGCCATAAGAATTGTTTCAAAATTGAATTTTTGTAGATATTTTTCTATTATTATTTTTGTTGTTTAAATTTCCAAGATAAATAGTTAAGTAATTTAGAATAATTTTATTTGAAACTTTGTGATTTTCCTGAATTCAATTATTTTGTGTCATTTTTTATGTTCCAGAAAGTTTAATAGCAGCATGAATGAAGAAAATCTATGTCTCGCTCAAGCTATGGTGGGGATGAAGCTGGAAGATAAGGCAGAATCTCCTAGGAAGACTGTTGTCAGTAAGGTTCAAGAGAAAATTTTCAGGTGAGATCTCAACATTATTTGTGTGTTGATAGTTGTATTTTTAGCAGTCCATTGCTTTTTCTGTATGAATTTATGAATAACCAATTCTTCAATCTTTCCTTTTCATTGTTTCATAATTTTAGTATCAGGGAAAGAGACATTGAATGTGTTAATCATGTCAAAAGGAAAGTTACCAGAGTACTTACCTCTTTCATTTGAAAATCTTGTGTGTCCTTGGAAGAACCTTTTGGGATGGGGAAGGTAATTTTTTAAAATATTTGCTCTGTAGGTTGAGACAAATAGAAATTTATTTTTTATTATTGTTAGTAATAAAGTCTCACATGAAAAGAGGCTTTGTTGATTCAGAAAATCCTGGAATTTATTTGATAACAAATCTGAGTGTAAAAAGTGCTATTTTCATAAGAACATTAATATTATTTTTATTTTGGTTTTTGTATATAAAAAAGTTGGCACATTCTGTATTTTTTTTAAAGTGAAATTTATAAAATTTCAACAAACAAATTTAATGTTGTGTTTTTTACATTTATTGACATAAACATTTTTTAATAGCTTTTTCAGACTTAATGATGTTAATTTTTTTAAATTTACTTTCCTTGGCACCTTTTTTAGTCATAAAATTGTAATTTGTACAATGTAAATATCTTTGTGTTCTTTTCTGCATGCAAATTTACATAATTTTATGAGAAATTACTGTAGGTATTTTATTGGAAAAAATAATGTGTTGTGAATGCACTACATTGAGTTTTGAAATTGTTATACTTTCTGTTTATGTTGTATTCTTATTAGTTATGTTCATGCTACATCAGGTATATAAATCAATGTCGAAGACCTTATTTTGTGCTGGAAATTTTAGGCTCAAGTTGTTCTATTTTGGAATCAAATCAGTAATTTTGCATTACTTACCTTATTCATTTGAAGAGATGTATATAGATACCACTTTTCTGAAGTAGTACTGTAAACTTATTCATTTTTTGGTGTTTATTTCATTCTTGTACTATTTTCACCCCTTTGAGAAAGCTATTTGATTACCATATTCATATAATCATTTTGTCTTTCTGTCAAAAGACTCTTCAGTATAACCACTCTTTTAGTCTTACTATTGTTAATTCTTTAAAGCTATCTAATTTTCTTGTTGTCTTGTGTCAAAAAAGTCTCTTATTTGGAGAAATAGAACAAATGTTGCTGATTTGTTTTATGGTTTATGTATTGTATCCAAGAGAACAAGGTCTCACCTTTCCATCTTTATTCAATATGTTCTGGATAATCTTCTGGGATTGTACTTGACGTAATTAGGATTTTGCCACAAGGCTTGATGACAATAGTTCATTTTCAGAGGTAACTGACTTCTTGTGAAGATACTGTGCCTAAAACTATTGGAGAAATTCTAGGTATCTTAAAGTACTGAACAGTGTATAATGTTTGTTATGAACAAAATGAACAATTTAAGAAATTTGAATAGAAATAAATTAATTGTAGTATTATTTAAAGATACTAAGTTGGGTGTGGATTCATATAATTATGAAACGATTCCTCTACCAAAGTGTATTTTAAAAATAAAATTAAACAGTTGTGTATTATTGAAATTGTTTGAAAAGTCTCTAAATGTAAACAATCATATGTACTTTCTATGAAAGAGGGAAAAAAAAACAACAACTTGGTTTTCAAACATTTCTTAGCAATACTTTATTCTCTCGGCATAGTATTGTTCCTTGAATTTATTATTTCTGTTGAATGGTGGTTTTAAGGAAATGAGTCACTGATACAAGAAGAATAATGATGCTTGGTTACTATATTGTCTATAAAAGATGCAAAAAGTAAAAAGTGATTGGTTGAAATTAGGAAAAAAATTAAATATTTATGCTTTGCCAAACATTTGTTCATAAACACTTAGATGTCTCCTCCAATTATTGTTCTGCCTCTTCTTTTATTATTCCAGAAACAAGGACATTAAAGATTAGTTTTCCAGAGCTAATTTTTTACTTCTTCATACATCCTATCACAAGTTTTGTAGAACATATGTTCCTTTGACTCAGCTCGTATTTGATATTAATTATCTGTACGTGTAGGAAGTGTACATAGGACTGCCTCAAATATGTTCATAAATCCATATCAGACGTATTCACCCCTACAAGACTACAAGACTCATGACACATAACTTCTTTTTTTAGGGCTTTGAAATGAGTAAAAAGATAGCCATCAAACATATGTGCTGATAGCTAATGATTTATGCAAAACTTTTTCTCATTTGTAGTTTTTTTGTATCACTATTTGAAGAACAAACAATGGTGAGCATCATTCAAGTGATTAATGATATTTAAAAGATTAATATGAAAATTTTTATGATGCTACATTAAAAATGTTAGCTATGCACAAGAAGCCACCCATTAAAAAAAAAAAAATCTAGAGCCATTTTTTTCCATCTGAAAAGCAGTGAGATGAGTCTATTTTAATTTACCCATTACTTTCTGGGTTTGGAAAACATTTAAGTATCAGTTGCAAAGTGATGTCATAGTGTGCATATTTGAAACTTCGAGAATGGAAAGGTTGAGGTTGACCATCCATGTTTTTTGATTTCCTGATCATGTTTCAAGGTGCGATCCGCATTGCTAAATTCGAAACTCAAGTTGAGAATACTGCTTTGTGGGTGTCTACCCAAAAATACTTTTATTCATTGTGCAGGCCTCATGGCCTGAGTCTCGCCACGTAAAATAAGGCTTCAATTCAATTTATTCTGCCATGATAGCGAATGAATATCCCTTTGATCGTCTTGATATCAGATTACTTATTGCTTACGTTTTTATTTCGTCACTGCATCGCAACATCTTCCTGCAAATTTCCGATAACTTTCGGAGACGCATCTTGTCATTATAACACCATTCAACTCCATCTGTGAAAGCATATTTACATGTTGCGTATCGGTTCATTGCTTGCATGTCCGTACGTATTTTCACGTTCCAAGACTGCTTTCACTGCTTCACTGTGGTGTAACGTTTCGTGTTCGCCTGACCCCTCTCGGGGTCTCTTCGAACGTTGGGCGGTTTCGACTCCTCTCCCCCGTACAGGACGGGGACTGGGAGTCTGGGTGGTTTGTGGATGGGTTAATTTTTTTTGGAAAGATGGGTTATTTTGTTAGGGTTCTGGATGGTTGGCAAGGGTTTTGCTAAGGAGGCGGCGGAGTTGAATTTTGTTGCGGACGGTATATTCAGCGTGTCAGTAGTTTTGTCGAGTCATTGTTAGTCGGTTATATGTTGCGTGGTTCGTTAGTGTCCTTTGGCTTAGGTTATGGGAGGGGGAAGTTTAAGGATATCCAGGGGGTGTTTTTTCCGGGTGTGTCGTGGCGGGGTTGCGAGGATGTGGTAGTGGGAGCGGATTTGGTTTCGGAATATGGGATTGTTGATATATTTCCGGATTTGGGATATTGCGGAGTTGTGGAGGTATGTGAGGATATGGGGGATTTTGTGTCGGAGTCTTATGGAATTGTATATTGTGTACATAGGTGGGCGGAAGATGAGGCGGATGTTGTGGTTTTCTACTCGGGTTAGTTTGGTGCCGTTGGTGTGGGAAGTGGCGAACCAGGTGGGATGGGCTGCTTTCTGGGCTCCCTTTGAATTTACGTTGGAAATGGGCGTGTTTGGCGAGGGTAACGGAAGTCCTCCCAATACTTCCAAGAATATGCAGTTTTTTTTGTACAAAATGCCCTTTTAGCATAACAAATTATAATGATGAATTGTTCAGGCTGTAGAATTTTCATGTTATACGCACACGAAGATTTTCCCCTCCTTCATTAGGGATTTTTGTAAATTACGAATTAACAAATTTGGAGTACTTTCAATAAACCCTCTTAACGCACTGGTAACGCGTGCTTGACCTACCTAATAATTAAAGTCAAAATTAGTTAGGGATGCTGACTTACGCTAAAAATAAAATTGGGGGCAATTTTTGAGTGATAGAACGACACATAGGTGATAAAAATTCCGAGGGAGGGGAAAAAAAGTGTGAAAAAGTGAACACGCCCGTGGTTGGTGACGCACGGACGAGAGACTACTTAGCACCAATGAGAGACGCACGGACGAGAGAGCGCCAATGTGATTTGATTCTAGATTATTTTTTTTTTTCATTTTCCCCTCTCCAGTTACCCTGAAGAAGCGGGAATTTATTTACAATTGTGATACATATATCCTGCAGCCGGTGAGGCTTTTGCAGATTGCGAGGGCTATATCTTAAATAAACTAATTTATACTAACTTAAAACTAATTACATTTCCTCTTTGGGAATTGTTTGTTTTGTTTAGTCATATTGATGTTTAGATTAGTTCTTTGTATTGTTCTTGATTCTTCTTTACTTTTGGTTCAATTTCGCACGCATTCATTCCTATGCTATATTTACAATCCTATCCATTCATTCATTCATACCCACAGCACTATTTACACTGCTTTTAATCGTCAGGGCGCCGACTTTACTCAAGCGACGTCATGATCTGGCGACGCTGGCCTGGCGGAACGCGTGATTCTAGAATAGCTTACATATCATATTTAAATAACTTCTTTCGAAATTCAATTGCAGATTCAATCAATTGATCAAAAGTCGATTTATTGTAACAGTTTATACGCCATAACATTTTTAATTTAATAAATTTAATTTTAATGTTTTAGTTTAAGACTGAATAAAGGGAATTATTTCGGCAAATGTAGAAAAATTGAAATAAAATCGAGACAGTAAACTAACTTCTCCCATCCCCTATGTAAGGCTGCCTCAAGTCCTATGTCATGTAATTTATTGACGACTCTTTAGTCAAAAATCCCTGGGCAGGAACAATATGCTGATTTTCTCAATCTGGCCGATAGAAGTTAAATGACAAGCCTGCATTTTCGTATCTAATGAGGAGCAGCATAAGTATGTACTTCCCATTCACCTAGTTCTCTAACCGCGCCGGCGCCGCCAGTGCCTCCGAAGCAGCCGTCGTTTCTAAAGTTTATTGTCAAAGTGTGTTATTGACATTA